TTGTGAAACCCCACGAACGCGAGTGGACGCGCGTGCGGACGTGCACGTGCACGCGTGCTTCCGTCTGCCTGCCCCAGCATCCACGCCGAGAGCGAAACGACCTTTAAGGGGGCCCACTTTTAGGTGGCCGAGAATCGATCGAAATAAAAAGGATTCTAACCATGAAAATGCACGTAACTTCGTCCAGTTGAGAGATTTCCCAGCAAAAATTGACTCGTTCGAAAGATCTCGTACACTGCTTTCCGAAAATGCTTTATTTGCTTCGTTGGACCCAAAGATGTAGCCTCTATTTAAAAAAAGAAGCCGTTTACTATGGACCCCTGCGTACATTCTTAAATAATATGCATTCGTGATATCGCCCTAAGAAAGAGTTCCTCCTAGCACGAGGTGAACGTGTCACTGAGCGAAACACCGTGGACGCGATCGTTCGGCGCGATTTAGAAATATCGGGCCGAAGCGAATGGTGTATCGCGGAAAAGAAAAATCGAAGAACGAGTGCGATGAACTCACGCGAGAAATGCTTCATACTTTTTCGTCGGTATCCTTCATTTCCGTGCTCGATTCATATTCCACTGGAAAGTAGGGAAGATGATGTACTGCTGCGGGGAATGCGCCTGCTGTGAGCAGATTTCTGTCCCATTCGTGGTGTGTCCAAACAAAGCCGTGTTCCTACGTCATTTTTTTTTCTCAACCGAGTTCGGACACCCACTTAATAGGCAATAGCGGAAGCTATAAGGCTTCGAAGGACATCTTTATGACACTCGTGCCTACTCGTACCGTACTTCCAGTCGCAAAAATGAAGCGTCCAGCTCGCAGCAATCGGGCAGGACGGAGCGAATTACAAGGCCGGTCCAGCTTAACTGTTCCAAAATTCCTCATTTTACGCTACGTGTCTGAAGAACTAAACGCGCTTTTTTGGGGCAGTATAGAAATGCGAATATTTGGCTCAGCAGCCCCATCCCCACCGATCTTCGTACCTTGGCCTATCGTGTAGCAAAAGTTCTCGATTCCGTTCTTAGAACCGTCTCGAGTCTACCGTATCGTTCCTGCAAGAGCTCATTGAAAAAATTTAAAGTCTTAAACGATGAGCTGCAACAAAAACTAGCGAGGATTTTTAAAAATACTGCAATGGGAAAGGAAGCTGCCGAAGGAACATCCTCGATACTTTAGAAGCTCTGAAGAAGAATTTGTCGATCGGAATTCGATGCCGATTTGGAAAATTTTCTTCGTTACGAGGTGCAGTCCACGAATTTCCATAGAGGTCCGACGAAACGGAAACCATTTCGTTCGTCTCGAATCTGCCCGAATCGCTTTTCGACACGGTCCTCTTGCTTCTCTCTGTGAGCTACTTCCTCCGAGGAAACGGACTCGGTGTTGCCGCACCCCCTCACCCTCCAGATCTTGCCCCGAGAGATCTGTGGTTCGGTAAACTCATGGAGTCCCTTAGTGGCCACCGCTTTCCCTCTCGGATCGCTAAAGGAAGTGCCATCGGGCAGCGATTTCGACTCACCCCCAAAGAAACGTTCGCCCGGTGCTACCTCGTGTGGATGAAAATACGGCAGTCTTGCAAAGAGAAGCAAGGGCACCTCGTCGAAAAGTGAATCGTGCCGATCGGAGTCGTATCGAACGGTCATCGTTTCGTTGCACTACCATGGAAACGCGTCGACTGCACTCCTATCCGGTCGGAAGTTTAAGATGATCTCCACGAAGCCGAGTTCTCATCCGCTTGCTTCCGTGGTCCCGTGGTGAATGCTTCGAATGAGAATCGCGAAGACGGGTGACGAGTGTCAAGACGAGACCGGCACGATCGGTAGCCGTCGGTATGCAATAGTGGCTACGAGTAAATACCTGCGATTTACGCGATCTACTACCAAGCAGGACGAAGGAAACAAGAAAGCGAATACCCTACGCAGTAGAATTAGTTGAATCGTGTGATGACACCACGAAAAGCCTGGAATCACGAGGCCCCAGGGCGTACGAATCCCCCGCGAAGAAAAGCCATCTCCGGATAGATTCGCTCGATGGACTGTGGAAAAGGCACGAGAGGATTTAAAAGTTTCCATCGGCATCTCTGAGAAGCGATTCTTTCTCACATCTCACTCTTTTTCGTGCGAATTCGATCCGAGATCGACGAAACGAGATCACAAATTCGCGGATGTTAAAATCAGACGGGCAACAATTCCAGGTCATTTCTCGTCGTACCTTTTCTTCGCTTTCTTTGTCTCCATACAGTAAATTGACGGCAATAAGACCTCGAATGCCGATTACATCCGCAGAAAGTGAGTAACGAGAAACCATCATCGCATAGTCATTTCCTTGATTTGTCAACGGTTTTAAAAGCCACATTATCATCATGATCGTGATTACCTTGGAACGCAAGGATGGTCGGTGACTTCACATTAAAGAGCTGATTCGTCTCTGCGTGGCGTTCACGTCACGATGTCACATTGGTGTAGTTCGTGCGGAAGACGTCAGAAAAACACTTGTCGAGTCTTCCAGGTGGGCATTTATTATGTTATTCGTATTTACTCATTCGTGTCATACGCATGATTTTCATTAGTGTATACCTATTTGAGAATGGGGGGGGGGGGGGGGGGGGGGGGGGTGGNATTTGAGAATGGGGGGGGGGGGGTTGGGTTGGTAGTTGCTGACAGGAGGGGAGAGAGGGGATAGCAACACTCACTCCAGAGCCAGGAAGCCTCACCCACATTTTCCGAATCTTGTACGCCCTTTTCAAAATGTTTGTCTTACCGAGTGGCCTGGATTCCTTTCTCGTGAGACGGCTCTCTGATTCGCCTCTTCATCGCGACGCGACACTCTCGAGTCGGGTTCGAATGGCAACGGCATGCAAAAATGACGTACTTCTTACTCTCGATCGCATACTCGTACGTGTGGTGAGTCGTGCACGATGAACGATCCGGGCGAAAATGCGTCACCTAGCGAGCCTCCTTTGACTGCACCGCCACAGATAATACAGACGAAATTATCGGAGATGAGAACGAAGGGGAAGGATGAGAATAGAGTAGTATGCTTGCAGATGAAGTGTGTCTGAGGATGGTTGGTCCCCGGTACGAAAGAGGAACGACCATCCCCCGTGCTACTCTTTCTCATCATCGAAATTACATTTTGTGATGTAAAATTTTGCAAAGCTTCTGTATCGGTTGGAAAATTATACCTCCGTCACGATTTCCACAATATCGGACGCACCGGTACGAAGTACTCGACGACTTAGTGACACCGGACGTGGTCATCTGGGATCTAGCTTAGGCTGTGCTAAAAGTTTCATATCGTTTCTCAAAAATAAATATATATGTGCAAGGGGTCGATCGAGTCCAAACACGACAAACCGTACTGTAGACTTGTTTTCGGGTCCAATTCGGATTTCTGAAACGGTAGCCGCTGCCGATTTGACTACATCCTGTAGACCTGAACTCCAGCAAGCCTGAAAAATCCAAATGTTACACCTGCCTCACTAGAAACGTCGAAGCGTGCATGTACGTTTCAAGTGTGCAAGCACGCAGGAATCATCCGACGAGAAGAGTCGACTCTCGATGTCCTAAATTCCTTCCGTGCAGTTCATTTCGAACGTCACGAAAATGTTGGGTGGAAGAAGTCATTGCAGGAATTCGTCGACGGGGACCGAGAATGCCACCGTGAAACGTCCGACGTGTGTGGTTCGTGCGTATCGATACGTGCAGCCGTCCTCGGGTCCCGACTCGCGACGACGAAATGAAACATGCAGGGTAGATTCTGTGGGAATCTCTCTACACATGCATTCGTGTGCCGGGCTTATAGGAAGCCGAGAGCAGGGAGCCTGTTATCGGCGGGCTCGAGAGGAATACGTAGAAAAACGCAGTTGCACCCCTCCACCTCGTGTGCCTCGCGACTTTCACCGCTGTGAGTGTGATCTACGCTTGAAAACCCTCCATTCCCTAAAGTCCACGAGATGAATTCCGAGCGCTCGTTTTTCCGAACGAAAGGGCGTGAAGTTCTTGCCTCTGGCCAGAGGAAGTCTTCCGTCGACTGACGCCTCGGGTCATCGCATTCTGGGGAGTCCGGAGTGTCCGGCGCGAGTCCGCGCGTCGTTAGACCATCGCATTCTCACGTGCAGATCGAGACGGCTCTGTCTTTCCAACGATCGACCGTACGAAGGTTAACAGTTACGAGCCATTTCGTGGTGATTTTTTTTTCGTCGAGGGAAGCGACGATGGCACGACGGAAGGCAACTACCGCTCTACTTTAAATGGGGGTAACGTTAAATTAGGGGGGCGTTCAAAATCCCTTATCGTAGACTCATAGATTTGAGAAATTCGAGGATGGCAAAAATGGCAGCTTCCGATCGAACGGTTTACCTTAATCCAGACGTGATTCATGATCATGTATTCACATTATGGTCGGTTTGGATGAGTGGGTCGATGATGGATCTCCCTGTACTTATAGACCAGTTTTCATGTTAACTTGAGAATTTCCCCAGATTTGTATGAAATCGGTATTATTTACACTGTTGAAAAATGGCGACCTTTCTAAATGAATTTTTCTAGGAACAGAGAAAAACTAAAATGTACTTTATAGTACCAAAGAACTCTATATCGAAATTTGGAAAGTGAGAACTGAAGATGGATTATTTTCTTCCCGAGAAAAAAAAAAGAGAATTTTCAGAGAATTTCAATGGCTCAGGATACGAATTTCTTCTTAAGTTCCATGTCTGGATTCTCTTCCTTGATGTCCTTGACAGAGAATATTCTTCATTCTCATCCGGTCCTTTGCGGTGGCATTGCGTGAGCCGCGTCGAGAATTCCAGACGTACAATTTTCCAGGCATTCGCCTTTCCATTGTTTTTCTTTCTACGTTTCTTCCGTTCGAAATTCCCAACGAAGAATGGAAAATTCGTTCCACTTTCGACCTTGAGAGCCTTGACACTCGGGCGTCTTCAAAGATCCTCCGATAGAACAGCTTCGGCTTACTGAATTTCTTTATTCCATTTCTTGAAAAATAGAAAAATGAGAGGAGGGGGAGAGGGAGGGGACGAGAAGGGGGGCACGAAGGGGGGCACGAAGGGGGGCACGTCCCCGCTGGCCATTGGCCGCCGGTCCTACTTGCGATTCCTTCCTCGTCTGGAGCATGATCATGCGATTCCAATGGTTTTCAAATGGAACCGAGTCGTCTACGAAATGGATCCGTCGGTGAATCGATTTACCGAGAAACGCCCCACTTCCATCGGTAACGAGATGGTGCGGCGATGACGAAGGCGAACGTTTCGAGACGGATCGGTGGGTCGAACACCGTGGGAGACCGACGCGTCGAGAGAGGGTAATGCCCAAAACCCAGCGGTTCCCAACATTTTCCTCATCGTGACCCCATTCAGACGGCTGCAAATTCTTGCGACATCGTGCACGGACAGACGTTCGTCTGTGGAAAATATGGCATCATCACGAATGTAAATCGTAGCACGCATGTACCACGACGATAAAAATCACCCTTCCAGGCGGCTTCGCGACTCCATTTTTTATCGTCACGACCCCAAGGTCGGGAACCGCTGCCCCGAACCACACCTTGTGCGTGCTTCCACACCTTCGATGCACGGTCCGCTTACATCAGTTGCAAATAACCCTATTTGAATTTCTCGAAAGACGTCAAAATAAGCCAGTCTTTGCTTCATTGTGAATAGGACCTTCATCGAGATGAAATACTCGAATAGGTAGAATGAAAAAACCGCAAAAAAAAACGGGAGGCGTGGCATACTAAAAAAAAAATAATGATGTTCCTAGCGTAGGAGCTGTCCGCAAGATCACGCTGCTGCAACTCCATCTCGCTCCCGCCGATCCACGGGGAAAGCCCTTTCTGTGATGACGTCACAACGGAGTGATACCGAAGCTCCGCCCCTTTAATGAGGCTGGTCGAGGCGCAACCTCTACATTCTAGTAACCTTGGTAATACCTCGGATCTGGAGAAAATGAAAGAGAATCGACGAAATATGTTTCGTAGAATACGTTCGTGGCGAACGCGAAGATCCACGAGGAAGGCCAAACTTAACTGTTTAAGTACTAAGTAATATTACGCTTACCGTGTGGCAGACTCGCTGGCTCTCGATCCAAGCATTTCTGCCGCTGCCCGAGGTAACCGACACCCTGGTTTTCCAGGTACCCGAGAGTCATTAGCCGACGAGTAGTGAATCCACGAAGCGTAAATATATCGTAAACGCACTTAAGGTCAACGAAGCCCTCTGAACTTTCTCCGACGATAAAGGTATCGATCGTTACCGAATCGCGATCGTATCCACACGGAGTTGACACTTTCGCTTCGACGGACGAAACGGTACGTCCGGCCCGGTCCGTCGCAGTACCCGCAGGACGCATCGATACGTCCCTCGACTTAATCACGGTACGTCCGTGGTATCGGCTGCTGTGCGATCCTAGTTCTCTGCTCTGTCGTTAGATGATCGAGCGTTCCCCTCAAATCGCTTCCAGGGCAGAGATACTCAGCCGGGTAAACACGTTCCGCATGCCAAAATGGTAGAACCATTGCCAGGGACGTCTCTTCCCTCTGCTCGAAAAAACCTCAGTGTTTCGTTTATTTATTCAGAGGTTTTTAGTGATTCTGTTCTGGATGAGATATCGAGGAAGTATATAGCAGTGACGACGATCGATATTTTCTGGCCGATGAAAGTGTTCAAAGCGATGAACATTTTGGGAAGAGATTCAAATTTCCAGCTTCATTACTTCCATGTGGAACTTTTGTTTTTCTTAAGAAAATTTGTCTTTATTTTAAAGGTGATATAAGAGGTGAAATTAATGAAACATCTTTACTCGTGATAACTTTGACTTTTAAGTATAAAATAAAATAGATTCATGTTTGCATCTGTTTTCTTTCTTGTGATATAATTTTTGTTGTTGTTAAGGTTTAAAAAAGCTCCTTTTCTGCGCCCAACGCAGTTTGAATATCTCCGGAGCGAAAGTGTTCAAATCGAAAGTTCATTTGAATGCGAACATATTCGTGGAAACAGGATATCACTTCATCCCTTTCGAGAAAGTCTTGCTCTCGAGTGTTTCAAATTTAGATAGTCTCGGCGCTTAGGGAATGGGTGCGATCCTCGCTTTCCTTGTGGTATGCGAACAGCGGTAGTAGAGGACCGTGACAGTTTTTACTAAAGCGGAGGCTGAATTTTTTTCCGCAGCCAGGTGTTGAAGCCCACGTGGTATTCGCGAGAACGAAAGGCAATCGAAATTCATCCGTTTCGATGAGAATTCTATGAAAGCAGGGAACCAGGTTCGGCGGGAAAACGTGTAGACCCAGTCGTTTCACGTGGTCTCTGTGCTCCTCTTTCCAGAGACGGACGCATCGGAGATGAGACGCCACCAGGTTCAGGCGTGTAAATTTGTGCTCTCGCTCTGCCTCGTCTCCCTCCTTCTTCACGTCTTCCTTTCCTTCGGTCGTGCACCCCAGGAATGGGATCCAGGTCCCCTTCCCGGTGCGAATCGGCGGAACACGAGCGCCGAGGAGGTATTTCGATTCTCGAAGCTCGGCCGAATCGTCCTGGGACTGGACGAGGAAGAAGAGGAAGGAGCCTCACCCGAACACGGTGAACGTTACACGATCGGAGTGTGGCGGCACGGAGAGAGATTGAAACGGCGTTTGGTCCAGAACTACGGCGGAGTGGACAAGGACGTCTTCGACGGCTGCAGGCATCGCAATTGCCGCCTCGTCTACCTCGACGAGACGTCGGATTCGGATTTCGGTGGAATCCACGCTCTCCTCGTCCATCTCCACTTGACCAAGAACCCCAATACCCTTCCGAAGACGCGCCATCCTCACACGCGATGGATCTTTCTCACCGACGAGAGTCCCTTCAATACCTTCCTAGCGAATAAGTCGCTGAAGATGGCGGACTTCAACGGCGTGTTCAACTGGTCCATGGGGTATCGCATGGACATGGACGTCCCCGTCCCGTACGGCGTGACTCTTCCGCTCCGACAGCGGAACCGTGACGTAGACCTCGTCAAGATCCTGGATTCCAAGACGAAATCGGTGGCAATCATGATCTCCAACTGTGGGGGTCGCAATGCCAGGTGGAAATACTTGAAAGAACTCGAAAAGTACATCAAGATCGATGTTTATGGTGCGTGCGGACCGTTGAAGTGTCCCGGGCATTTTGACAAAGACTGCGCCGTCCTGTCCGACTACAAGTTTTACCTTGCCTTCGAGAGCAGCAACTGTGACCAGTACATGACGGAAAAACTGTGGTGGAATGCGTACGGGAAAAACGCCGTCCCTGTCGTCATGGGATCTCCGAAGTCCGATTACCAAAAGTTCTGTCCTCCAAATTCCTTCATTCACGTGGAAGATTTCACGAGTCCACGGAAACTGGCGGAGTACCTCCAGTACCTAGACGCCAACGATTCCGCTTACCTGAAATTGTTGGAGTGGAAATACCAGTTTGAGGTGCTAAACGAACACGGATATTTTGGTGCGCCGAATCGCCATTACTGTCGCATCTGTGAAGCCTTGAACGTGTACGACTCGACACCCAAAGTCTATAACAAATTGGAGGAATTTTGGAACCCCGATCGAGACTGCCATCCGTCGCTGCCGTTCACGTGACCTTCCAAGCTAATTTGAGGATTTAGGCCTCGTTTGTGATAAATTCATCATCTTGCTTCATTCTGCATTTCGTCAAAATGCGATGCACGACCTAATAACTTTTTATTTTTAATTTCGCTTGCCATGATTGCCGGAATTTGCAGGGATAGATTATTCTAGTCATTTGAAATCAGAATATCGAGATATTTGATGGACAAGGTATTTCGATTACAATAAAGGTGTGCTGGAATGAAAACGTATGAAGCTGGACAACCCAAGTGACCCCCTTTCATCAGTGATGCTCCATGCTAAAAGGGAAGGACGGTGTATGGTTGCTTTCCGCACTTCGTTAAATCTTCCGCTTGCAAGTATTGTCTTCTACATTTTTTCACCTTTTAAAAAATCAGTTTTACCGAATATGCAAATTGAGCCTGATATCAATGCTTGGGGATACCGGTTGAAAATAGGGTTGTGCTGTGACGCGTTTATTGATGAAGTTACCGAAGTCAATAACGTGAAACAGTTACGCGTTCGTTTTTCGCACACGTAACGAAAGGTAGGGCGTTCCTAAATCCGCACAAAAATAGTAATGTTACCGTCAAAACTGGCCCCTAATAATTTTTTGTTGTCAACGAAGAGTGCTAAAATGAGAATGTGATTGTTGAACGTCCCCACAACAATCCCTAGCCTTTCGTACAGCACCTTCCCTCAATTAGAGTTTCATGAGACTGATGTTCCTACTTAACCCTTTGGGTCAGAGTGGTTTTGCAGCGGAACCACCCTTCCCAGCAAATGTAGCATGGCTCTGGAAAGGTAGTTCACTCTGAAACCACGATGGTCGCTCGTTAGATGCTCTTATCGAGCGGCAGAAAACAGGAACAGCTTGGGTTTGATGTTACAGCTGACTACAGAAAAAAAGTTGCATTAAATAATTTTTTTTAGCAATTAGGGACTCAAAAGGGTAAGCATTTCTGTACCCTTCCTGGCGGATAGCAGTTTCAAATTCGTATTTCCTTGGTCTCCTGTATGAGATTTTCTTCATATCAAAGTTACCAATAACCATAACGAACGAGGACAGTTACTTCTTGAAAAAAAACGTTACTTTTTTAATGCAAAGATCACAACCCTACAAATTGACTTCATATTGGTTGTCATATATTAGTCGCTACTTCGTGAACGATGGTTGCATGAATCTCCTGCTTCAGGGCGAATGCCTCATGAATGAATCCATGGACATGAAATGAGTAAATTAATTCAAAACAGTTATCGGTTGAATTCAAAAGTTTTTGCACACCATGAATGCAAAAGTTAATTTGTATACCAACCAAGTCCCCACCATCATATACTGCCTAATGTCAAAAAAGGATGTGCACTTGGAAGGCTGAAGCTGGCTGCTCGTCAGCGACACCAAAATTAAGGATGAGGGTCCTGCAAGCACATTGCATCGGGATCCAGGAAGATCGTAGCAAATAACGTCTTTTCCAGTCAGCAAATTGAAAAATTAGCTGTATAAATTTTGTAGTTCACACAAACTTCACCGAAATCGAAGTCAGCCTGCATCTTGCACATTCACAAAACAATTTTTGCACAAATCAAAGGTACAGTATGTTATTGAACAACAAAACGGTAATGTAATAGATACAGGACAAGGTCATTAGTAGCTTTTTTTCTTTGTCAAGGAAATCCATTAAAAAAAACAACCCAGGTCTGTGGGAATTAGGGGGACAAACTACTTTTATTCAAAGATATTTTTTCCCTCAGCTTGGCACAATGTATAGTGAAATGTACCTGTGAGGCAAACAATAAACCTGACTTCAACACATCAACTCACAGTGTAAAGTGGCAGCACCATAATGCCTTTCTGACCAGTGCTTTGCATAGGCAACTGTGCACAAGATCACCAATGTTTTTGCACAAGATTTCAAAGTACCAGTAATGCAGGTGCATCACTCTCTCACTTCTGAAAGTAAGCACTGCAAATCAACTTCAAGCATCACACCAACCTGAGCACAAATATTCAAGAAAGGCTGAATAAACTTAAGGACCAGATTGAGTGATATTGCACAAAAAATTATCATCCTGTTTTGATTGTGGACTAGACAAACAAAGATGGGGGGAAATGGAATGGAAACACTCAATCCATCAAGCAAACAGTATGATATCCCAAAATGGAAGAAGAAGAAAAAAAAAGGGAAGAATATAAAGCAGGGAGCATATCATTGGGGATTTTGCCACTGCCTTCACTTATGTTGACCACTGGTCTTGATCCCTGGGATCTCCCTCTTGTCCTTCTGTTTTGTCATTTTGATCTTCACAGCCTCACTTGGAGTGATGATCACTGACTCATCACTCTCCTGGGACTTCAAAAGGCTTCCATTGGTGATTCGAATCCCTATGAGACAAGGTGAAAATCATTACCTAATTTGAAAGACACTTGACCAGTACAGAGACTTACAATATTTAGCTCATTTCAGACCCTGCTGTGCATGTATTGTACAGAGTGAGTCATCTAAAAGTGTACCCACAAATGTCATAGCAGGTATTGCATTACAAGGGTTCATAATGCAAGCTGATCCAGACTTCCTTCCCTCTCAATAGAGTGTTCTTGTCTAAGCACATGATATTCTGCATTGTGTTGGTGCATATTCTTAGACTGTAGTCCTGCCTGAGGAGCAGTCTTTTGGATACTTTCAACATGGTGCAACAGCCCACACTACACATTTGCCTATGGCCAGAATTACACTGGTGTTTGATGATTGGATCATTAGTCATGGTCTATTGCCTACTTATTCACCCAATTTCAGTGTTTACAATTATTATCTGTGGATTGCATAGAAAGGCAAGGTGTATGCCAACAACCCCCATACATTGCATGCACTGGAAGAACTGTGAAACAATATCTGTCAAGAAATTGCAGCAATATCAGTGGCAGAGTTGAGGGGAGTCAGCTAGGACATTTTCCTGCGAAGTTTACTTGCAAGTCCAGGGGCAACAATTGCAGCACCTTCTTTAAATTGGGATTCTGTTGGGTACACTTTTAACCCCTCAGGCTGCTTTGCTGTACCCTGTGCATGCAACATCTTTTTTGCCACAGGTGGTTTGCCATATAGGGTATGCCAAGCAAAAGGCATAAGTGTACTAATTTCAATCAGAGAAACTATTTTTTAAAACAAGCCTTACACTCGGTGTACCCTGTATAGCGAACCAGCCAGAGTTAGAGGGTTAAATGACTCACTCTGTATGTACTACAGCTACTACATTTATGTACTTTTTTCCATCTGAATTTTCTGAATTTGATTCAAGGAATCACAAGGAAGGGATATCAAAAGTACAGATCTTCCAATTATCAATCCCCTATTTTAATCCACTCCAGGAATCAACTTGGGCAAACAGTGGCAAAATAAGTTCTGCTTGCACACTGCCAGCTTGCATACAAACTCTGAATGATGTCTTATAAAGATTTAAATGTGAGATGGTACCATCAGGGAGCTTCTTGCAATAGCGAGAGTTGTTGGTCCAGTCCTCCTTGAGAGAGAGGTTGTACATGGAGTAGTGAGGATCTCCAGTGACCTCCTTTTCAATATCTAGGAAAGGTGGGAGTGCCTCCTTCAGCATCTCCCCATCTAACTGTGTGTATGTCTCCAGCAGCATCAACTTCTTGCACCTGCCATTCAGTTATGTTTCAACATATGCCTGCAGGCCCATCATGATGTGCATCAAACATTACATGATCAAGCAAAGCTTTCCTCTTGACATCAGTTCTGACAGATCAATCGCAAGTTTCACTACAATCAGTGAGTGGCCAGTCAAAGGCTGCAAATTTTTCTTAGGAGGCCTACCTCAACAAGTAAAGGAGCATAGGACTAGGCGCAAGAAGTGTTCAAGCTAATTCACATATGATAAAATTGGGATTATTAGTTCAATAAGCTGTACCTGAAACTAGTCATTTGACACACAAAATTCATTTTCAAGGCATCTGAAGGAAACTAATACTGCCATCAAACCAGAAGGGTCACTTCCAACTGTGACCCTCTTCCTTTCAACTACAAAGATCTGCGGAGATCTGCTGAAAGTTCTGAGGAAACACCACATAGAGGACAAGAGCACAGAAAAATCTTAATACCATCCAAGACAACCACTAATATAAAAATAGAATAGGCATAGGTAAATAATTACGAACCTGTTCATATGGAAAAAATGTTCAACTTTGACCAGGTTTTCATAGACTCTAGTACTGTGACAGAGAAACTCTGCCTATCCTAGGATGTCACATAGAACCCAAACTTTTTGGTCTCCAGCTTTCTCAAACCATGGAACATACAAGGGAACATTCAATAAGTAGGTGCATTTTATAGGTTTTCCTTACAAAGGAGCAGGGTCACATTTCAAGTCCATCTGAAGACCATTAGACCAAGACAGTTGAAATTTCGGATTTATGAGCTTCTTATAATTCCCAATAGCCATGACATTTTACTGCTAAATCACAGCCAATGGTGTGAAACTCCCTGAATATTAGAGCACATGACATGTAATGACACGTACAGCAACACGAGAAATTGCACTATTAAGCTTATTGTCTGAGTGCAATACTAAATAACCATACTCACCTTGGATGACATGGCTCCTGATAGATGTCAAGTTGGAAATATAGATTCTTCCAAAGGAAACAGCGTCTCCGCTTGTAGACAGATACATGGTATGGGGAACGCTGTGTCAGCAAGTTGAGGTAATCTCGGTGAGTGATCTGTGTCCGCACCTCCACTACCTGACCAGCCATCTCCGGTTTCCGCATGGTGTGTGTATAATTCCAGTGACCTGAGAATTCCAGATGGGGGTTCAAGAGTCCTTACATGATACAGTTCAAGATTGCTTTTCCATGGCAAGGAACCCAATGGACCTTTTTGGCCTCGCTTGCGCAGGCGAGCCTGCTGCTGTTCCCGTGCACTTGATAGGTAGTCGTGGACAACATCGAAGTCCTGAAAGGGAGGGAAAGCTTCTAGGGGTGAAAGGGGTGCCTTGACCAGGAACTTGCGCTTCTTGGCATTCTTGGCCAGTCTGTCACTTGTGTCAATTCCTATTCGTTGGCACACCGTCTGCATAAGTAGTGATTTTTTTTAAATTAATAAACTTCATTTTGCTTCATTTATGAATTCCCTCTGTTTAGTCAACATGATGGAAGTTCATAGAAAGAAATCCTCATTTACACTCAAAATTACTTGATGGTTTCTCAAGTAGCTCATAAAGGACACCTTAAAGAAAGAGCTCATTTTGACCCATGCAAAATATGTTGGATGATACATAAGAAAAGCCCACTTCCACTGGATTCTCTTAAATGGGCTTTTCTGGTATGAATTTCACATCACAATCAGAAGGCAAACTCAAATTTGTTTTTAAAATGCTCCCAGAAGCTAAAAATGAAGCAGGATCAAAATTGAGCACTGCTTTGGAGTGCAACAAACACCAGAATAATAAACTTAGAATGCATGAAAAAAAAAAATGTAATGGAACAGGATAGAACATAAAATGTTAGTAGCTGAGGGAAGTGGAATGAAAAAATTAAAGCAGAATGAAATTGATCACTTTGAAAACCAAATATTGGGTGATTCAAAATAAATGCCCCATCATTTTCTAAGAAAGGTAGCTCCTCACAAGCAACCAAAATGATGTCAGATAAGCAATCGACATTGGAAGGATCAACATCCACACCTTACCTATAGCCTGTATATCTTCTCTGGATAGAGCAACCAATCCTCTCTTGCCACCCTAAATTACGTAATCAAACAATACATGAGAATCAAAACTTCTAAGTAGTAGTCAGACTGTACATGCCCTCTCTTTCTTCAGAGTGGATGCCTTCAACAGCCAGAACTTTGTTTTTCTAACTTGAGAGCATGTATGGAAAATTTTGAATGGAAATGACTCCCTCTTACCTTCCTGATGGCATCTCTGCTGACCAACACACATATTCAGAATACCCCCTTCAATCAGCCCCATCAAAAACTCTCTCATTCCCCCATCAAAAATTCCTCCATTTGCCAACACCAAGACCTTTCAAAGAAGAATCTCTATAAGAGCATGCATAATGTGGAACTTAGATATTCTTCCCAGCAAACCTATTCACATCCAATCCTTCATAAAATTCTCTGCATCCCTCACACAAACTTGGCCACCTACAATGCTACATCTCTTGCTCCTCAGATTAAATCTTCAAACTCTCTTATCCTTCCTGCACACTTCTCTCAACTTCTATTTCTAGTCATCCATGATATAGAAGGAGCACATTGTCACCTATATGCCATCTCAATATTTTATCTCAAGTGTGTCTTGTCTCAGTGCTTGTTCTGTCCCAATGACTGTCAAGTCTCCATGTTCGTCCTATCGATGTTGTCATTGTTCATATTGTACTCTTACCCCACTTGTAATCTCTCTCTATCCTGTCAAGAGGAACATGTCCTCTAACCAACTGTTTTCAGATGAGCCCCTGTATATATGCTCTCTAGGACAATCAACCAATCAATTTCAGCTTGAGGAATAAAAAAAGGGTCCAAAATTTTTTCTTGCATTTTCCTCACCTGGATCATTCTTTTCATCTTGCTCTCAAAGTCTGTGCAGTTGTCAATGACATCAAAATATGGATGGCCAATCCATGCCTTGGCAGCTAAGTTGTCCATCTTGCGAGCCAGCTCCAAATCCTCACTTCGACATGAATGGTCCTGCCAAACACATCCATTCTCCAATGATCAATAACGATTCCCCTATTTATATTAGGAAAGTGAAGTCTAAGATTCTTCAAACATCCTTAGCAGGAAGGCAGTTGAGGAAACAAGAGTAGGAGAACATAGATCTCAATTCTGTAAGCTTTTGAAATAAGAAAGGGGCAAACCTCAATGGAATAGAACTGTTCAGCTCCATATGCAGCAGACACCATATGAACGATGTGATTGTATCTGGAATCCCTAAGATCTACTGCATTCAGCCTGTTACGTTGCATAATCTTTTCCCACTTCTCCAGTGATATAACTGAACAGAAAGAGAAAACCGAATAGAAAATAATGGTTGATATAATCAACATGGAGAAAGCCAAAAATTGAAGGAGTCTCACAGGCAGAGGCATCCATGGCTCCACGGTCGCAGATGATGAGACAATTGTGGGAATTTGACTCAGCCAGGGAGAAATAAGACTGCTCAATCTGCATCATTGTCTTCAGGAGACTCTCTTGAAATAGGAATGCTTCAGCACCCCAAACAAAAACACATTATTTTCCAATTTAGTTAACGGCTGATACCACTTTATTTAAAGTCGTCATATCTTCCATGCTTTAAGACATTATACAAGGTAGGTTCAAAAAGTTTCGGGACTCGGGTCATCCTGACCGAATGTAACACGTTGCATACCAAAAGCAAATGCTGGTGAGCGTAGCTAGGGTTCCACCCTACGTGCTTTCCAAGAGTGCACGTGCTGAGCCTCACGTGGCAGTTACTGGGTTGCGCCACGTGCAACCCTTCAGCTGTCAGTCGGCGGTCTGTACTCACCCTGTGAAGATGTCGCGTTTCGAACTACGTGCTAATGTGAAATATTGCCAGAGAATGGGCAAAACGGCTGCAGAAATGGTACAAGGGAGGTCTTTTTCGATGCCGCCAAAACACTCGAGGATGTGATATTGCATTGTCCCTATACGAGTGTTTCAGCATTCCAAAGGTCTCTACAGCCGTTTTGCCCAATCTGGCAAAATTTCACATTAGCACGTAGTTCGAAACGCGACATCTTCACAAGGTGAGTGCAGATCGCCGACTGACAGCTTAAGGGTTGCACGTAGCGCAACCCAGTAACTGCCACGTGAGGCTCAGCACGTGCACTCTTGAAAAACAAATAGGGTGGAACCCTAGCTACGCTCATCAAGATTTGCTTTTGGTATGTAACGTAACGCTCGGTCAGGGTGATCCGAGTCTCGAAACTTTTTAAACCTACCTTGTACTTTCTTTAGAAGTATGACTGCGGAAAATAATATGCTTGCATCGAGATAAGAGAAAGTAGATATAGACAGAGAGGGATGACACAAGACAGTCACCTTCATCCTCGGTAAGTTCAGAGAACTTCACCCCTCCACTGGAATAGAGAGAAAACAACCACCTCTGCTTTCTTCGCAAAATTGACACAGGAAGGATACAAAAAAATTAACTCTCTTCTCAATTCAATTTCTTGCAAAGACAACTTCTAATTGTTTATGAGGGCTACTCTAAGCTGGCCGATAAATCATGTCTCAAATTACGCAGCTTGTTACTTCTCTTGAGTTCTCAGCTGAAACTAAAGACTAAAGCACAAGGCGGATAGCAAATGGGAACGGATTTGAGGGCAGGATTCATGAGTGGCTGCTGGCTCCACAGAGGCAGAAAACGTACGGTAAAAGATGAGCAAGGCAATCGATCGATAGTTCCTTCGACTTCCCCCCCCCCCCTCTCTCTCCCGGTTCTTTTTTTTTTATTTTGGTAGCTCAATGCCATCCTTCATCAGTCATGAGATACCGTGGCCATGCCACGTGACACGATGGATCCATCAAGCAGTGCAGCAAACCCTTGCGGTATGCCAAATCTAATCATTACCTTTTCGATCCACACAGGTCTGGCTACTGTTCGTCTATCCTGATACAACGCAATCGGAAGTCTCAGCATACACACACGGAGACACGTTGGGCTTCAAAGTACATAATACAAAAGCGAGTTCGCGCAAACCAAAACACCCGTGAGCCTCTCCTCTGTGTGAGCTCGGGCGGCATTTCTTAGACTTTCAGGAAATTAAAGTGAATTTCCGACGGTACGAACCGTGTCACCGATACCTGTCAATTATGAAAATAGCTGTTCCCGATATCTCTCGTCTTTCTTTAATGTATACCGGGGCAGCTTGTGACCCGTAACCACCCCGGCTCCATGAGTCAGAGGCAGGAAAGGACTCGGCCTCGCACCATGCCATGGATGAGACCATGGCAACCAAATTAGGTCTTCATCGACCACGAGCTTCAGGCCTCGGCCTCGTTTATTCGGGGCTACTACCCCTTCTGTTCTACGTCGGTATACATATACCAGCCAGAGAGGAGTGGTAAATACGACAGCGGCTGAGACTTCCCGTGAGCCGAAAATAGGGATTGAGGTTTGCCAATGAACATTCGATCTGGGTTTCCCCCGTAAACAGTTATAGGGCATGGGGATATTGGATTTCTCTAGTACGTAGTCATCGTGTCTCTTCCCACGATGGGACGACATTCGACGGTCTGACGCCAAGAAGGAACTCCTTTCGTTCCCGAAAAGGAAATAAGAAATGTCGTAAGATGTGTCGAAATGGGAGGACCTGGAGTGAAGTGATGCCTAGCCCATAAGAGATTGAAGATACATCATCCATCGTCAAGGGTCTTCTCAAGTTCACAGATTCCCCTCACGTAGATCCAAACAGGATTTTGTTGGGTTTTTCCCCTCTTCTTTTCTTTTCTTCTAGCAGAAAGGGTTGCCAACTAGGTCGGTAACCCGCACTCTCAATCACTTGGCACAAGTGAAACATTTTTTTTGCATGCCAACTGCTTTTGCGCAACATCATACCTCACATGCAAACTACCCACGAGCCTCGTCAATAATCTATGTAGGCCTATATTTAATATTCTGGCTCACCTGAGGAGAATGGAAGCTGTTTCCGGTACACGAAAGACCTGCAAGACAAGTACATTCGAGCCTTCAATCATCCTTGCAACACGGGCGATCCTTTCCTTTTTGTCAAAGCGCCAAGTATTTGTCTCATGGCGGAGAATCAGCACGAAAGAAAGAAAGAGATTCCTCTACCTTCCACCCCAGGTTTTCAAAGAAAGTGGAGAGACGGAGTTGTCCTGTCGTCTTTCCTCCACACGGACCTGCAGGAAATATTAACAGTTGACACCTGTTTCGATCGGTTAATTGGGTGTCTTTCCCCTATCCATATACGTGGGTCACTCTGAAGTTTCCGAAGAACATTCCTTCAAGAAAGGAAGGGTAAATTACTCAACCCCTCTCACTGATCGACTGGGTTTCTTTTAAGTTGTTTGCCTGTTTCATTGACAATTAGTAAATTAGAGCACTTTGAGTGGAAGCAGGAAGGAAGATCTCGTTCGGAGCGATTCTCACCAAGGCAGGCCTGATGTACCATCACCTTCATGCCGTCATTTTCCACAACTGGAAGAGAACCTACACAGCTGATGCTTGTATGAGAAGTCTAAGGTTTTCAGTATAATGTCCCTGCACGTGCAACGGTGTTCAAAGAGTAACGCTTCTTCCGAGGGGAAAAAAATGACTACGGATGAGCCACATTGTCTGGGTGCACTCTGACAGCAACAACTAAATAAAAAAAATTGAATCGGTCCAGTCGCTGTTAAAAAAAAAATTCCCCGTCAAAGAAAAACCCCTTGGGATATTCTCATCAGCGGGTGTCCAAAATCTATGTTTGGTTGAGTCACTGCTGTCAGAGGGCTCCAAGATCGGGGCTCGCCAATAAACTCACCTTCCCCTCAATCAAAAACAAACAAACAAACAAACAAAAAAAACCCTGAAAGTTTCATTTCGGCAATCGTCAAGTGAGGCAAGTGAGCTCTCTTACATTTCTATTTAAAAAAAAAAAACGAAAGCAAAAAGGTGATGAATCAGTCCATGCAAGGAAAAAATTGTTCCTCACGAGATGTCACTACTTGCGGCCATTCGTATTGCTACAGTCAACTAAACGTCAACAAAAACGGACGAAACTTGCACAAGCAACTTAAAAGTACGTTCAACAATCGCTTAGGTTGTAACTCATTTAGCTTCATTTGTAAGAGCAAAGTCTAAAATCTTTCGGAGTGACCCACGTAACTGCAATCATTTGCCTCGATCAACAGGCTTTTTGTTTTGGTTTAACAGAATACAAAACTCAATTGCGTTCAGTAATTTACTTTTGCAGCCTGTACTTCTGAAGTTCAATGTAAATGTGGCCAGTGAAGCAGTGTTCGGCACTCCATTTATTCATACTCAACCATCCTCTTGATAGTCAGACAATAAATAATAATTTTTTTAAAGCCACCAAAGGCATTTAAAATGAAATATGAATTGAGATATGAAGTACGAATAAAGTATAAGTTACAGAAGGTATTCATGCAGTATGCTGCTCCGCTGAAAAATTACTCAATTAATCTTACCAGTAAGAGAGCCATGACTGGTATTAATCTCTTGCAGTTAGAACATCAAGTCCTCCCTCTTTTTTCTTCAATCAAATATCTTACCTCCTGTGAGGACTATTTTGTAGATATGCTTAGAGATACCCCCAGGGGGTTTCTCTCCTTTCCTTTCCTGAGTTTTCTCCATGGCAGATGGGGAGATGTAATGGCGCGTTGCGTTGCAAGCACTATCAGTTATCAAAGTTTTACAAGTGACACACTCCACGTCTTGCTCTCTTCCTGCACACAAAAACTGAATGGCAAACAGGGCAGGATGTGCACGTCTGCCAAGGCCATGGACTGCAAAAGAATGATTGGTCCGCTTGCTAGAACCACCTTTGGGGAAAAGAAAGAGGAATAGCAACTCTTATTTTAAGTAAGGATGTGAAATTACCGGTAGTGAAGAGGGTCCTTAATGGAAATTCACCGGTAATATACAGGTAATTACTAGTACTTAATTACTAGCTTACTACAGCTCCTACAGACCGACATTCAGCAAAATTCATTACTTTTGAATCCTAAGGAGAAAAGGTCAACTGCTAGAGAGAAATCGATGGATGGAAGAAACTTAAACCGCTCCGTCGTTTTCCTCACCAGAGTTCTGAGCACTAACAAGAGACACTTGTGATCCAACATGTGAAGAAGGGGCAAAATGTGGAAATTTTTCATGATCCAGAAAAAATGAAAGGATTGAGGTCTTTTTCATGTTCTAGAAATGCGTCCATTGCCGCCTCTGCTATTTCATTTCAAAGATTGCTCAAGTGGGATTCTGGATTGCTTTGAAGTCTCTTATTATATCCTTTGCCTTGGGGCTTCTAATTAAGGATATTGCATTGTATATATTGTGCCCCTCCCACCCCTAGTTACGGTCCGCCCGTGCACACCATGCACTTTACTGTAACCTTCCTTCATTCTTGGTTCATCGAGTACTATAGCACTTGTAACCTATGAGTCCTGCATCCTTCCGGCCGGCAGGGGCATAATCAGAGTCCATCACTGAGTCGATCGGTTGTCACGTTTCATACTTTGAACTGTAAACTTCCATCGCAAGGGAAACACACCGCTTCTTCTGTAAGTTTTCGTTCTTTGGTCATAGTCCGTTACAAGTTATCACAGAAGTGCACTTAGGCAATCCAAACAAACGCTAAGAAGGATGCGCCAGAGTATCTTGTGCTTAGAGGAAAAACTTGAGAAGTTCTGATTTGAGCAGTCACAGCTCCAAAATGCTTTTACGACCTCTCCCGGATTAACCAGCGTTCATTTTTTGCTCCCGACCGAAGGGTTCTGATTCCGCCTCCTCACAGCGAGGGAAACGAGTCTCCCAATTGTCATCCTTGGGGACGTGTGGCTTCACCGAAGGTTGAAGTAAGATGGTGGGTGAGTGAGCAAAACAGTAACAATTTACCTCAATGTTCTTTTTCTGGATTCTGAGAGCTTCAAGACTTTGTAGTCGCCAATCGCAAAACTGCATATTTTCTATACCCATTTAGACTAAGCGATCTATGGTGCTTGAGACAAAAGACCGGCGGAAGTGGCATGGGAAATGGGAAAATAACTGGTGAAGAAAGCGCCATGTGGCACGTCAGCTACATTTGATATGCTTGGATGGATCCCTCTTTCGATAGTTTAATTAATACTAGAATCCATTTCAATGTGTTGAAACTCGTTACTTCTCCCCTCACCCCATCCTTAGCATTTCAAAGCACATGTCCGCCACCCTCATCAACGCGACGACACAAGCAGGATGAGTATATTTGAAGAGAAGTTAGGCACTCCGCCAATAAGTGAAGCTCTCGACAGGAGCAGGAATTATGGACAAGAAATCATGATGGTCTTCGACAGACTAAGGCTAATTATGAACTGATTCCTGAACGGCTTGCGTTCCGTGAGACACAGGTCCAACGCCTTTGACCACAAAAAGGACGATATCTGAAAGTTGCTGTCCCTGGTTCCGGCTTAGACCTGCAATCCCTCTGCAAGAAATTACTGGAAATGTGAAAATACTCTCCCTTTTTTGCTATATAAACGGTCAACAAACCTGAATGAAAATTTACTTGTCACTGTTATTTAGCGTTATAACGTATACAATTTTTGCTGCTGGTTATGGGTAACCGTAACCAGGAGCAAAAATTATATCTGAGATTCTCGGTAACGCAGGTAACGTTACGGTAACATTACCAGCACTCGCAACCCTAACTTGAAGAGAAGATACTTAAAACACCAACGAATTTGCTCAAGTATGTTCATGGACGGCTTAAAAGAAACTTTCATGGGATTTCAATTTAGCCGGTGCTACCTTAATATTACCTTAATGCCTATGGGTAGTGATAGAATTTCTTGTATAATAACCAAAAATGTTGTCTAACAAGACGTTAGGAACTTATGATTATGGGCCCATGATTAAGACTTCAATGTCCAAACTAAGTTCATGTCAAACAACCACATTGAGAGTGCATTTGAGTTCTTCATTCCCCTAACAATAGTTACACCAAATATGGTATGCCTGTGATTTGGCCTGACATGGACTTAGTCCTATGGAGTTCCACTAACTGAAATAATGCTGCCCAGTTTAAAAGCCAAAGGTAGGCTTTTCTCAAACATTCCTTTTATAGTGACACTAAGGTATGCAAATGTTTAGTCTTTTTTCCTCTATAAAAAAAAGCAAGTGTCACATGCTCACTCCTCTCCAGTATTTGCCCTCTATTATTTTATGATCGTGTCTAGACTACTGGATATATAAAATCTTCAGTTCAGACATACCAGTCCTTAAAATGATATGCTTATTTGCTTCACCAAAAAGCATCCTCATCTATTTCAAATGGTCTTGCCTGTAAAATATTCCAAATGAAAATGGAGATGGGTATAATCACATAATCAAGTTAATGATGCCAAAGAAAAAAAACGTTGACATTTTGACCAAAAGCATCAATTTTCCAAATATCATCCATCTAAATCTCTGGTAATGACAAAAACTTGAGGATCAACCAAGGTGCAAATCACCAATTCCACTGGCAACCAAATACACCACCTTGAACTTGGATTCTACCACCAAAATATCATCAATGAAATTTCATTGGTTCTGAATGTACAGTAACATAAATATTTTTCAACACCCACAAGAGAAAAATACATTCATTGATTATTATCTACAATCTTAGATTCTATGGGAAAGATCCTGTTTTCATGATTCCTCAGCTTGAAAGCATGTGCTTTTTCCAATGAACATCCTTTGGTATCCCATAAAGAAAAAAAGTCATGTACTGCCAAATCTAGATTAATGGAAGTACAGGGTGTCCATAAAGGTATGACCCATATCATAATCTAGTAGCAGAGTACTTCATTGCCATGAAATCCCCTATGCCTAAACTCACCAAATGTACATTTTTTGTGGTAAAGTCTTTTGTCAGAAATACCCATCTCAGTCCTCCATGTGTCCACTGCCTCCCTGATGACATAATTCCCAGTGGTACAAGAGTGCTGTCCATGTGTTCACTAACATTTCCTACATGATGCTGGTGAATTCTTCTCGTACGCTATTCCTTAGGTCTGCCACACCAGTTTCTTGGCATAAACCTTTTCTTTGGTATAACCCCAGACAAAGCAGCTCATAGGGGTGAGATTGGGAGAGTTCACATCACACAGGAAATGTTAGCAAACACGTGGGTCACACTCTTGTACTGCAAGGAATTGTGCTGTCAGCAATATGGTGGAGATGTGGACATTTCTGAGAAAAGACCTTATCACAAAAAATGTTGCTACTGAATTACATCAGATTATTTTTGAGTCATACCTTTATGGACACCCTATATGATTTCACCATCCAGGTATGATCCCTTGTTCTGTTTTCCTGTTAGGGTACCTACCAGTGTCAAGGCTTGAGACCTCCTTTAAATTAGAACAAAACTAATGGATTTTCCAGAAAAATCCCAAAATATTATCTATGTTAAAGAAGACAGTAGAGCAGTGGTTCCCAATCTTTTTTTATTTGCAGCACACATAAGGACACAAACTTTCCATGGCACACCCAGCCATTTACTTACTTTCAATGGGAAACCTGTGCTTGCTTCACTGAACATAGCAGTTTGATACGAGGCGTGAGTGCAACTCTCAGCTCGTTTTCCACTGAGAGATGGCATTCCCTCTTGTTTTTAAGTTTTTTTTTTGTCAAATCTCAAATCTCATGGCACACTTAAGCCTTACTGGTGGCACACCATTTGGGAAACACTACAGTAGAGCATCAGATTTCTGAGGTAACCTAAACCCAAGGTGATCTATATTTTGGTAGGTTAGAAAAGCACCTAAAGTCTTTAAGATAATCATAAAGATAGCAATGTAATTATATTTATTTTCATAATTGTTCCCATATTTTTCATCCTCCATAGGGATCCCCCCTTTCTGCACTACAACTCTTGAAATTGACAGAAAATCTAACCTGACAGAGTTGAAATGTTTAATATACAGGGTGGGCCAGAAGTAAGGAAACATGTTTGAACTCTAACAAAACATTTATGGAAAAGCAATCAAACTAAACAGTGGTACACACAATAACACTGGTCTCTGGATTTGATTCCAGCTGACTTATTTTTCTGCAGTCCAATCTAAGGCATTGTGCATGAGATGAACCCTAGGACTCTTCTGCACTTAGGGATCCTATTGTTGTCACAATGTGGAGATTGCCAGTGGAATCATGCCAGCAAGTTTGCCTATTACTACCTGTCAGACTGTACTTGGGAAAAAAAATTTAACAGTTGACACATACAACAATTTTCATGAAAATATTTATGGCTTTAAATACTTCATAAACATGTGTTTTTGTGTGTACCACTGTTTAGTTTGATTGCTTTTCCATAAATGTTTTGTTAGAGTTCAAATGTGTTTCCTTACTTCTGGCCCACACTGTACATGGGACAAGAGACAAATCATGATCATTACTGAATTCCCACCTATAACAACTGGTATCAGTGGGAAGCAGATTTTCCAAGCATTAATAATAATTTGTGTGGTGAAAAGTATAATTATCATGGGTCATGAAAAGGTTAAGAAAGGCAGATCACTCCTAAAAATGGCAAACCTGATGGCTCAACAAATGAACTAGCAAATTTCTTAGTTTGAAATAATAAAAAAATGAATGCATGAAATACACATTGGTTTAGGGATAACGAGACAATCCCCAATAAGCCAAGTAATTGAAAAGAAAGATTTGGTTACTGAAATAATTTGCTGCTGCTGTGATTCCAATCAAACATTCTACTGCTCTAACTCTTCTATTTTCTGTCCTCACTTTGTGGAAGGCGTCTCGGCCGAGACATTGACCCCGGTCTCCGTTTTTTCACGTCACTAGGGTAAGATCTATGATATTCATAGACGTAACATTAAGCTTAGCCTTCACAAGTACAAACAAGCACGGCTTAAGGAAAACTGCCTCAAATTTGGGCAGAGAAATACATGGGACCAGGCCTACCAAATATGAAACTCGGTCTCATCTGATTCCTCTTGAGACACTTCGTTTCAGAGCATGTTTCGCAGCTAGGCCTACGCCCTCGTTCGGAGTATGCGCTCGCACGACTGCGGTGCACCAGACTGTCGTCTGCTTTAGCCTACTACGTTTCCGTCCGTGAAACCTTCAAATAATTCGATTCAGTAATATTGTGCGCCACAATATAATCAAATAAAAAATATCAGAAATCGCGTGTAATTCACAATTGTAAATATGTCAACCTCATGGAACCTTTCGACACAAACTGACGATGGAAAAAATGACCGATGAGGTCTCTGGGAAGTGGATCGACCATTATGTCGGCTTGCATTGCTTGTCGGTGAGAACGGAGGAGTTCCCAGCTGCTGTTGGTGATTTTTCACAACTTTCACATAGATGGAGAAAAATAGTTCACAGCCCACTGAGAATGGCCATGAAAGTAATTTAGACCGCATATTTCTCCATCTTTCCTCATCTGAATTCAAGCTTCTTGAAATTAATTATTCTTCTACTTGTAGGCCTGGTTGCTGACTCTGGAAAGGAATACCAGGAAAAACTCATTAAGAGCGTCAAGAAGGAGGTGCCCTTTCGTTTCATCCTTGTTGACATGACAATGACAAGACCAAGGCATATGTCCTGGTCCCAGATTGGTACCTTCAGCATCCTAAGCATTGACTTACTGCTCTCGAATGAATTTTAGGTTACAATATCTACTCCCTCATCACATTACTTCAGCCACAATGTTAATCAGAGATATGCTTCTTCCATAACCCAATTAACCTGACTTTGGTATGCTGGGTGACATTTTGACTTGTGAACCCATGTAAAATATATAAGATTGATCTGAAGTGCTAAGTTTTGCACCCTTATTTTCTTTTTGGAGAGCTACAACTTTCTAATTAGCCTTGGGAGCATGCTCCCAGCGTACATAAATCACTTGTCTTTATTTGACTGATGCTAACAGCATTCTGTCTCTGTCTGTCTCTTTCAAGTTAGAGTCATGTGCATGTGAGGTACCCTTCTGTTCATATCTAGTCAATTGTATTTGCAAATAATTTTCATCAGATAGACTTAGCTTCTTACAACCCTCAGAATGCACCAGTATTTTTCGCAAAAATAAGATATGATACTTCATTGTTTGTATACATTTCTTTGTCACTTCAATTTTGTTACTAGGTACTGAAGTTATATTAATTGTTTATGGAATGGTTTCTGTTCCATAATTCTGAAGCAGATGCTTCTTTTTTTTCTTTATTGATGTTAGAGTTTCAGTATTCAATATGGTGTAAGTATCACATTTAAGAGAAATACACAGAAAAATAAAAGATTGCATAAGTTTTGGAGTAATTACTTGGTATGTGATGGCTCATAATACATTTTTGCATCAATAAATTCTGAGGTCACAGTTACTAGCTTTTAGAATATTTGTTCAGAGATGTATTATGACTTCTGGAGAGCCTAGGAATTGTCACCAATGTATCAATATCTCATTAATTAAATGTGCCATTTTTGATAAATGATTGAAAAAACCATTAGCCTAACCTATGGTGGTAAAGGCATATTTGCAGATAAATTTATTTGTGCCTAAAATTATGCCATGAGAAATATTTCAGTCCTGGTACTTGTACTTAGTACCTTCAGGTATAATATGCTTATGCCAACTGGCAACAATATAGGCTGAACAAAAGAGACTCTAGATTAAAGACCAAATTACCAGTTAGAGTTATAGTTATCCTGGTTTTTTTTTTTCTCTTTAGCCAGTAACATGATCTCTTCTTGAGTGATTCTTATGTCAATGTCAATATGTCTATTAATGTCAATCATGTAATTCCAAAATGTTGAATGATATATACTACTAGGTTCAAAAAGTTTTGAGACTCAGGTCACCGTGACCGAACGCTGTGTTGCATACCAAAATAAATTTTGCTGAGCATAGTTAGGGTTCCACACTACATGCATATGAAGGGCACATGGGCTTAACCTCACATGGCAATGACTGGGTTGCCCCACGTGCAACTCTTCAGCTGTCAGTCGGTGGTCTGCATTCACCTTGCAAAGATGTCATGTTTCAAAAGCGTGCTAATGTGAAATTTTGCCAGAGACTGTGTAAAAGGGTTGCAGAGACCTTTGGAATTTTGAGACAGGCATATGGGGACAAGACAGTCTTGTGCCCTCGAGTGTTTGAGGGGCATCGATGATTCCAAGAAGGCCGTGAGTGGAGAGAGAGAGAAGGAAGGTGATGTTGGAGGTGTTCTTTGACCACAAGGTCCATCGTGAGTTCATTTCAGAGGGGAGAACAGTGAATAAAGAGATGTATGTAAATGTGCTGTGGTATCTCCGAGAAGCAATCCGGAGGAAACTACCACTGATGTGGGCAGACAAGAATTGGATCCATCTTCATGACAACGTACTAGCGCACAGGTCACTGATGGTGAGCCGTTACTTGACAGACACTGGCACAGTCTTACTACCACATACCCCCTACTCCCCTGACCTTTCACTATATGACTTTCACCTTTTTCCAAGAATGAAGAAGCGTCTGAAGAGACTTAGTTTTTCCTCTGCAGTAGAGGTGAAGGAAGCTACGGTGGCAGCACTGAATGGGGTATCTAAAAATGAGTTCCAGTTCTGTTTCGAGGAACTTTACAGACATTGGCAAAAGGGTACAGAAAGCCAGAGCCACCACTTTGAAGGTGACACAGCAACAGTGCTGTAATGCTCACCGTTCGCATGCAAGAAACCCAGTCTCGAAACTTTTTGAACCTACCTTGTAGATGTCCTGAAAATCACAGTAGAAGACTTGAGACTATCTTGTTCATTGGAGATAGCAAGCATTCACCATAGCTAGAAAATTATCTTTTGCAGGTGTTACCAACCAGGAACCTTAAGCTACCTGTTAGTGGCAAGTGTGACCCAAGAGCACTCAGGCAGTTCTTTCAGGCAAAGTTTTAAAGTTGAAATTCTGTATGTAAAAAAACCTTGACAGAGCCTGAGGACATGCTTTACCCTGTCATGGGCAACAAGCAGACCATAAACTTCAGATTGATAAACCCTGATCTGTGGTTACCATGATTGATCAAAATGACAAATAGAATTCACTCAAGTCATTCTTGGAGTTGATTTTATCCTGATTTATGTTTAACTTTGATCTATATTTGTTTGCTAGTGTCCTGTTAGCTTGTTCATAGATCAGTTTATGAGACAACCACCCATGTGTAAGATGTCACTACCTGCAAGCAATGGATGCACTCCGATAGGGGGTACAAATTCAATCTGAAAACTGAAAACAAAACCTCACACCTGAAACTCTCTGCTAATGTACCTAGACCATGGACTCTTGCTTGGTAGTGATCATGAAAACAAGCATGCATAATAAACCCCACTTCACTCTGTGTCATTGATTACACATGCTAGCTCAGTATGCTGAAGGTCCCAAGTTTGCTTGGCATGCAGGCATTATAGTTTCCAGATGGGTGATGAAGCAGGTGTGTCACTTTGTTAAGGGTTTCACTCAACTTGTCTGGAAACTGTTAAGCCTTTGCCAATGTATTTTTGTGCTTCCATAAGTCTTTCTCTGGAATTAGCCAAGACTAACTTGACTCTCTTTCTTATTTGCAGGTGAAGCAGTTGATGGAGGAAGCAGTGACAAGAAAATTTGTCAATGAAGACAGTGGTAGCATCACTTCATTGTGCGGTGAGTTTAAACTCCATTTTTTTATTATTTGATGTTCTGCTTACTGAACATGTCAAGCCTACTTTCCTCAGCTGCTGTGGAATCATGTCTGTCTCATGGACTAAGACGTCGAGCATTGGGCCTCTTCAAATCTAGTTCTACTACTGCTCTCATCCACAAGATTGGGAAAACATATGAGCCAGCAAGTATTGTTTCCAGTATCCTACAAGAAACAGAAGGCATCGATCCCAATAAGTGAGCCTGCAAGAATCAGCACATTAAGTCTCTCTTTGGTGTCCCTTGAAGATGTCACAGTACTCGTAGTGTGAAATTCCCATTATGGGCAGTTCAAGTATAGGCTGTAGCATTTTCAACTCCTTTTGGTAACTCGTTCTTGAACCTCCTCCCTAACAAGATCTCACTCTCAATTAGCCTATTCTTAAAAAAAAATGGTTGAGACTGGAAAGGGAAACTGTATTGCCTGGACAAATCCTGAGCCCTGAGGCCATCACAGTGATTTTCAATTAATTGCACTTCCCTACCCCCTTCTGAATGGTGCTACATGTAATCCAACAGAGTGACATCTGCTGTCTTGAAGTAACTGCCCTTTGCTAAATAAGTGAATGAAGTGGGAATTCAGTCATTCCTGCTTCCACCACATAGGGGGGGACACAATTGATAAAAAATCACTATAGCCCCATCCATCGCTCTTGTCTCACTCACTCCTTGTGCCCTGTCTCATTCCTCTTCTTGATATGGTATAAGTGCAATTCATAGTGTGGTTGAAAATAGATAATGAAGTCATTGTTTCATCTGTAAAGGCTGAGTATGAGCAGTTTATACCACCTCTTGAAGAATTACACATGTGCCACTTACAAATGGTAGATCTGAGGAAATGGGAAGAAGATGGTGGGGTAAATTTTAAGGACTGGTCAGGTGTAGGATGGGAGAAGGATTAGAGTAGATAAAAGAGAATTACTTATATGGAGATGATTGAAACTATTAAGAGGATCTTGCTCTATTAACTGGTTGCTTCATTGAAGGAAATTAATGCCTGTCTCCAACAGGTATTGTCATAGGAGCTTCAAATATCTATAGAGGTAGTGAAAGTAGTTGTACATGGTGGCATAAAAATGGCACACCATAGGAATTTCATTTTTGGACTATAGTATTTATTTTATTTTTTTTTCCCAGGTAAATGATGGCTGCAAAATTAACAAAAAAAATGAGAGGGTGGATTTTTGTTTTAATGTGCAGAAGGCCGAGCATGTCAAATGGATCAGTTGCTACTGAATTTAATGCAAAACACCTAAAATGGCCCCCAATTGATCAGGCAACTGGTGTTGACTGATCAATTTGACATGCCTGGCCTTCTGCATATTAAAACAAACTCCACCCTCTCTTTTTTAGTTAATTTTGCAGCTATCACTTAGCTGGAAAAAAAAATATATATATATACAATAGTCCAACAATGAAATCCCCTATAGTGTGTGACTTTTGCACCACCCTGTCCATTGAGACCTGAAACTGTTGATCAAGGATGTTTGTCATGATACATGACATCAGTATTCCTCACCCTCCTGGGTTTCTGGAATAAGCCACATGTTTTTTTTGGACAAGAAGGGAAAAGCATCTAGTCTTTATTGACAAAGTTAGACTTATCTTTTGCTATCTTGAGCAAAAGGTTGGCCTCTCTTGAGTGCAAGATGCATTTTAGTAATTGACATGCAGAGAGCCACAAATCTTTTCATAGTTGTGGCTGTTTATCTGAAAGAAGGCTTATTCTGGTATACCATCCTTGAGGGATGACTTACCTGTGACAAGTTTCAGAAAATTTTCTTTCTGAGCTTTCTGTTCTTATATTCCCTTTACCATGCAGTACTTTTCTTGATGTTTTTGAGCCTGCACTACATTGCCAAAAGTATAGTGACAAAGGATGATATGACTAACAACTATCATTCCATGTTCAAACTCCATCAACACAGATCCACGTGCTATACTGGCAAACATCGACTGTAACAGATTGCTGATAGCTGTTATTATACTTTTGGACTATGGTAATGCCCTCTACCACATGACATCTGGGGCAATCTGTTATCAGCAGAGGGAAGCTTGTCCCAATACTTTTGGCAATATAGTGCATATTCTATGGATTTAAGGCAGAAAGAATTAAAGATATGAGGAGTAGACAGATCTCCATTTGTGGTAGGCTGCATTGTCTTATTCAGAACATGATGTTGCAGAAACACTGATTTATATATTGACCAAATTGCTATCATAACACTTCCTGTCTGTATCCAAGATTACTGTGATGCTACATATGTACTTACAAGGTAATGAAGAAGCATCTGCAGCAAGAACCCATAATGAATGACTCCACCACATCTCTTTACTATTATTCATATAAAATTATTTTCTCTTTTTGTTTTGTCTCTTTTTCTATCATGTCTGATTTATTTTTAAAATTTTTGTACAATTTGTAAAAATCATGAGAGCTTGAGGAGTTGCAAAAGAGGAGCACCTCAAAAGGCACAATATGTAGCTCCACCTCAAAATATATCAGATTTTAAGCAGTTTGCCCTTTCTCAGGCATAAGTCAGTTCAGTTTGTTTATTGCTGGGAGATGAGCTACAGGAGAATCTGTACCAGTAAGCCTGAGCCAGAGAGTTCACAAGATTCAAACAAAAGTTCACACACTTTTGACAAGGTTCACATTTGCCCAGTCATCCAAAGTTATCATTATCCAATGAAAAAAATAATAAAAACCTTAGGTATAGATGGCAGTAACAAATTTAGTGTGTAATGTTTTTGAAGAGTCTTTTTTTAAATATATGATTCACATATGGCCCTGAGACATTTCCTAATTCTCTGTGATCCCTTTCATAGGATAACTTGGGTAGATGTTGCTACTGAATATCACCAGCTTTTATATATCCATTATCTGTGAGAAATATGAAAGAAGTAACAGCAAAGCACTGGTTTCTATACCTTTTCCAGGGGAATGCACCAATCCATTTACTACAGTTGAGTTTTTATGACCAAAAGTGCAGCTCAAAAGGGAATCATCCAGCAATGTCTGCATATAATTAATATGGAATTGCATGTAAGAGAGTATCACATATAATTTTTTGGACACCTTTTGCAGTACATGGTCTACCCAGACAAAGACTTGAAGGTTGAACTCATTACCCTTTAGGAATGGAGAGGCTTGGTCCTGAATAATGCAAACAGATATCTGGGATCCATAAGCGTATAAGAAGCTAAGAATTGCATAATGAAATATATATTAGATCACAATAAAGCATTTATCCATGTGACATTTTTTCAGACGTTCTTCCTCAAGCAGTGACAGCCTGAATCGATCCAAGCCCATCCTTCAGAAGAAGAATTCCAATAGTGGAACCATGGGAACTCATAAATATGCTTGGATCCGCATTGCTTTGTTAGAGAAACAGCTTGCCAAGATCATTGACCACCTGGTCTCCAATGCCAGGTCAGCATTCAAGCTTTTTCATAAAAGTGTTATGCAACTATCAAATAGATGCAAATGTGCACCTATTGAGTTTGTTATAGGGCTGTCACTTAGGCAGTTTTGAAAGCATCAATGCATCAACCTGAACCCTCAATAGTAAATTGGAGCATCATTAATATGATATTTTTGTGGCAACCTTCAGATGTGGTTATCTTACGGGGACAATTGATGGCATGAATTTCTAACGAAAATATATTATGCTTTAAAGGATGTACTTTTTACCATATTAATGTTATCTGCAGTAGCTTACAACACATAAAAAAATTATCAAAGGACAAAAGAAATTTGTGTAATTAAAATTTTTGTAATTGCCTTACCAAATTGCCATAGCAAATTTGGCACCTTTCCTTTTCTCTGTGCGTTATGATGGCCTTGAATATTAAATTATTTTTTGGCTTATGCTGGAAAAATTGCATTACTTTTGATTTAGTAGCTCTTTATCTAAAACTTTGAGGGCATTTCTGACTGTACCATTGCTCTACATACCCATAGTAACCATTCATTAACTGAAGAGCTTACCATCAGTATCTTTGGTATTGTTTAGTTAGTTTAAAAAACACTTCTTTTTCTGCCAGACCATATCTGCATGGAATAACTTTCCTCATCACATTCTTCATTCCTCCCTTTACTCACTCAACTTCTTTCCCTTCTCATGATCTGTTGTAATTTCATTGGTGATATTTTAGATTTGAAGTGCTCTGCTATGTTCCTTTTTGCTTTGGATGTGACCTTTTTTTGGTGCTTTATTCTGCTAATTAATTAATTAATATTATTCTGCACATTCTATCTCTCTGTTTTTTCTCTATCCCTCTTCTATTCTCAGATTCATGGAGTCCCATCCTCACTTAAGCACCTGCAAACTTTAAATCTTTTGCTCCCCTTCTCATTCTGTCAATCCATAGGGAGCTTTATCTATGACATCAGCTATGCATATCATGTCTTTGCATTGATGTTAGCCATTGACAGCCCTAGGTTTTGTTTGCTAGGTATGATGTGGACCTGTTTTAATGGCTGGATTGGAGAGTAGGCTATCTGTGATTTTGCTGCAAAAGAAATCATATGGGTTGGAACCCATATTAGGAAAGCTTTCAAAAGTTTCAGAATTCTAGGCTGACTTGTTTTACCATTATGTTTGAAAGTTTGGCAAAAGTTCGAGGTCACACCATTTTGATGCCATCTGGACACTTGTTTCAGTAGAAAATGGCATGCAAAGTTCAGCCATTCCCATTTCTATGAAATATTAGAGATGTTGAAAAATAGTCTGGAGTAACATGATAGTTTAGTTACATGATAGTTTAGTTACTTTGCATGCATTTTTATTGAAGTAGTAGTAGATAAAATTTCTGTTCATTTTTTATATTTTCATTTTTCATACATACAGCCTTATAGAATATTAATTCCACATTAATTCCAGTTCTTGTGTGAGCTCAAAGCAGATATGAGGCATGACTATTATAATTGCATCAGAAAATTTAATTAGTTATAAGAAGTTATCAGTAATTGATTCATTTGTCCACAGAATGAACTCAGAAACAAAATTGGCTTCCAATGAAACTTTTATATACTTGAGTTTTATTCTCTATCAGAGGAAAAACATTGTTGAGCTTTTGCATCCAAGTTTTTGAGACTTTTCAAGGGAAGTGTTTGAAAGGAGTTATTCACTTGAAGTGTTTATTTAAAAACATGTTTTGAAGGAGGTGAAAACCCTATTTGAATGGCAATTGAAACAAGAAAGTGAAAAGAAGGTCCTTATCCATCTGCAGCATTGAATACTGAGCAGTAGCTAATGTTGAGAGTAAGCATTCCTAGGGTATAGTCCTTTTGAAAATCTTAGTTTTTTTCATAAGCTGAGAAGCAATATCAGGGGAATCCCTTTATGGGAAAATATTTTATTAATTGCTGCTGGCATTAGCTAAAAGTACTTTTAAATGCACTTCTGGCATTTTCTGAGAAATTTCTATCCTTGACCACTTGAAATTTTTGATGAGAGGTACTCTGAAAGTAACCATTTTTTAATGAGCAGGGGCATATACAGAGGTTGCAAAAATGCACTTCTTCAAATAGTGACTGATATGTTGACCTTGGATTGTGTAGTATCAGGTATGTTGTATGTCATTTCCTGGTCATGAAACCTTTCTTGTCACTTTTTGACACACCCCTTGTACTTGTGAAACTATGCATTTTTTAGGCAATTTTTTTTTCCAGATTTTGTTTCATTATTGTTCATTTTCTAAGCTTTTCAAATTCCCAAATTTTTTAATTATCAAATTAACATGCCTGCAGACAAAACATATCCTGTGAATTTCCAATCGATCTTCCAAAGTTTTAATATTTGGTGTGAACTCTAATTGGACCATGGGGAAGAAGGATATAGGGTTGTTGAATATGGCCACAGCACAGGATGTCACATTCAAGATGTAGGTGATAGCATGAAAATTCCAAATAAGTTGGTTTTTTAAAACCAAAGTAACAACTTGCTTTGGGATAAAAGTGATTAATACTATCTTCAAAAAGTTCACAGAAAACACTTTTATTTTCTCATAGGGTACATCTACTCATATTCACACACAATTTCCCTCAAAGTAGTCAATAGTGCCATGATTGCAGCAAGTTAGGTCATTGAACTATGTCAACATTTTTACTAAGTGTCATTGCAATTGGACTGAAAACCAGTCTGTGAGCACTTTTCTATGAATTTCCTGAAGCTACTTGTTTGAGTAAATGGAAAGTGAGGAGTTCCAGATCACAGGAATACGAGCACAATAATTTAAGCATAGAGATGGGGAATGGCTGATTTCATGTTATCCATTCAGTTATTTTCAGTGAAACTCCAATTAGCTGAAGCCAGAAACAAAATGGAAACAAACTAGCCATATGAAAGCAGTTTTGTAACTCTGGCTGAACTGGAACTAAATTAGAACTGAAATTATGAGGACTAGAGCATAAAAAAGAGCATGGTAAAAAAAAATTCCTTTGCCAGCATCACCGCTTCCTTTTCCATCATAACCTGCAGTGACACTCATCGGATGTCAATACCCTTTGAGCCTCTGGCAGTCACCTTTGTAAGAATCCTGAATACTTACTCTGCTGTGCTTTGACCCTTTCTTACAGCCTCTAATGCTCAACTGGAAAAAAAATTTTTAGGCTTCTTTTTCTGTATGTAATATTCATGTGATGGAAAAGTATATTGATCCTGTGAAAAGCGGTGTGACCTTAAACTTGTACAACCCTCCATTAATTGAGTTGGCCTAGGACTCTCAAACTTAAACTTGATTTACATAGTTTTGATATGAATCCCAACTGACATGATTCTTATTTTCAGGAAAAGTTTAAGATGACCAAGTCTCTCTGTATCATCCCTTGGGTTAATTTCTAAGGCTAATGCCCTTGATGTACAATGTTGGAAACAGCATAAAAATTAGTCCTATTCCCCTTTCAAAATTTCCTACAAATATTGTGAAGGACCTTGAGGAAAACTTTCGAAGTCCTTCTGTATAACTCAGATGAAGCACATTGCCAGAAAGGAAGACGAAAGGTCACACCTCCATGGAAAGGTTGTCTTTCCACATTCATTCGACTGAAAATGTGGTTCTTGCTAGCAATTTTTTATTTATTCCTTTTTTAAACCATATTGCAGGTTTTTAAACATCAAATTTCATGGCTGGTCTTGCTTTTATTCAGCAATGAGTATATTTTCAATGGAAAATTTCCTCCATGATGGTACATTTTTTACTGCCTATTGTACTATGTTATATGTATGGGCGTAGGATGGTAATTGTAATTTATCTGCTAAACCAGGCCTGACTATGATGATTTCCTGATGCTTTTACTAACAAAAATCTCTTCCATCTTTTCTTCTTCCTATAACCCTTCCTCCTCTTGCTTGTGATCTTTCAATCCTGCTTTGGTTGTACTTCCTTCTATTCCCTTTGTCCTCCTCCTCTTATGGCCCTCTAGCAAGTACTATGACAAAGATGCCCTTGTAGCTGATCCTGACTATGGACCCATCTTGAGCTCACTCCTTGGTGAGTAGATCTTTCTGGTTGTCTCACCCTCTCTCTTCCATTCTTTAATCATGAGTGTATTTTTTCAAGTTGCCAGCTAAGTTAGGATAAACTGGAGGATGTGTATTTGCAGAAGCCCAATTTGATAATGCAGTCTTCAGGCAGCCTTTTCTTTGCCTCTGTCTCCCTCTCCTATTCTAAGCTATTCTCACCTTTTCTTCAGATTGACATTGGTGATGGAGAAACACATATGGATGGTGGTGAAGAATGTTGGATGTTCAGATGCACATTCTTTCTTAAACTCGAGCTTACTAGAATGGATCAAATAGATCAAATATTGGAATGGATCAAATGGAATCTGTTTGAAACTGCAGTATATGGGGCTTCGTTATACATCCCCTAGTTCAACAGTTTTGTAATACTGGTAGCATTGCTAATAGTATTGATTAAGGTAGGATTTCACAGGCTATCATATTAAGAATATGAGATGCTTTGGCAGTCCATAAATAGGAAAATCTTAGTTGAAGAGCCAGAGCTCTGAATCCTGTCTCAAGGAAGGATTTACCTGTGAATCTGGTGGGAGTATTCCATCTTTAATGCTTCTGCTGAATGCACCATTTATAATTATCCCAATTTTTCCTTTCCTCACAGAACAAATGAACCACATGTCAATGGTATTCTGCTGAAAGAGTGAGTTAGGTAACCTATTCTAAGCAATGATGGATCAGTGTTGTTAGCAATTGCATGATAACTCCTCTCAAACCCTATTGACTCTCCTTATTTAACTATCTCACTCTTTGGCCCTTGAGGAATAAAGAAATGGTATAAGTGAAAAAGTCAGCCACATGAAGACGAAACCCAAACTTTGAAGCTACAAAGATTTACAGGCTGTGAGAGAAATGAAACAACCTGATTCAACTGGATGATATTTTCAGGGTAGGGTAATAGGCCCAGTCAAGCAAAGTTTATAATCTCCAGCTTCATGCCTGTAGCATATCATTCTAATCTGTATGTACAAAATTAATTGAAGTCATGAAAGTATAAGTACAGGAAATCAAATCTTAGTCAATAAGTGCAGAATTTATGAACTGGTAATGTTGGTGTTCATCCCTTCTTATTATGTTCATAGTGGGTCCCTGTGCATTGGACTTCTCCAAGCTGAAAACAGCCGATCAGTTCTGGACTGACCCCCCAGCTGATGAGCTGGTACAGCGACATCGAATCTCATCTTCCTGCTTTAGCCCTGGGAGCAGTCCCCAGACTCCCCCTTCTGCACGTAGGCTTGGTCTGCAGGTAAGATGTCATTTAAAAAGATGGATTGGTGTTCCAGATGACACTGAGCACAAGCTCTGTTAAACTTGTTAAAGGAATTTATCCTTGTCTCTCAAATTTCCTTATAAGTTTCAGTCAGAAGAAGTTTCAGTTTTTTCCAAAACCATTTCAATTTCAGCAGGTTTATCTGCCAAGTTTGCGATTTAAAACTTTTTATTGGATCATCATGCTGAAACACAGACAGAAGTGGACTTTTCACGAGCGAATCAAATGTACCTATGTTCCTCTGAAATACATCACTATTAGGACTGTCATGATAGCAGTTTTCAAAACATTGATGCATCGAGGGGGGGGGGGGCACAGGAGGATTCAATATTTTTTCTCTGCACTTGGGCAGAGGTTTGACTTCGGTTATTTCTTGCCTGGACCTCTATCCATCTTCCATAATCTCATGCTTGTGATTGGGGGAAAGGTGTGACCTTTGAAACGAGTAATGAAACCTACCATGCCTCCAATTATTAAAGATGATATCCATTCATCAATGGATCCATCAGGACAGCCCTAATATTTTCTTATTGCCATTGAGAATCAGTTGCCAAGCATGCTCACATAATTTTTTTTTCTCTTTTTCTTCATTCCACAAGGTCTTTGGACATTGGCACCAGCAGATCGCAAACCTGCCAATGGTGCCATACCGGCAGTTTTTCAAACATCAGTACAGCCCTAATTTCAGGCGATGTCCATGTTAAAAATTCACTTTGGGTTCACCATAAGTAAAGAGGTAAAATGCCCCAGGGCAAGTTAGAAAATTCAAAGCTTAAGCCTGCTTACTAAAGAAAAAGACAGGAATATAGAGAGGGGGATTAACCAATGTATAAGGGTAGCCCAAATGAAAGTGGGACTGCTGTCGGTTTGACAAATGGTTTAATGGTATCGGTGTGGTAGGTTTACAGGATAAAGAGTGATACATAAGGAACATAATGGCTATACATAGTTGCCTTGAAGGTTGATACAGGCGTCCCAGCAGTCCACGAGATGATGAATACCCTGGGTGAAGAACCTCCGGGATTGGCTGTGGAACCATTCTTCAACGGTGACCCGGACTGATGGGAAGTCCTCGAACATCCCCCGTATAGCCCTGACCTCTCACCTTGCGACTACCATGTCTTTGGTCCACTCAAGAAAGCTCTTAAAGGACGGCAATTCGCAGACAATAATGAGGTCCGGGTCGCCGTTGAAGAATGGTTCCACAGCCAATCCCGGAGGTTCTTCACCCAGGGTATTCATCATCTCGTGGACCGCTGGGACGCCTGTATCAACCTTCAAGGCAACTATGTATAGCCATTATGTTCCTTATGTATCACTCTTTATCCTGTAAACCTACCACACCGATACCATTAAACCATTTGTCAAACCGACAGCAGTCCCACTTTCATTTGGGCTACCCTTATACATTTTGAAATCAAAGGAGTATAAGAACAGTCCACTTTTGGAGCATGCACCTGATGAGATCAAGCCAAAAACTGCTACAGAAGAAAAGAAAATATTCTCGGTCTTCCCTCCCTCTCCTTTCCCACTTCCTGTCTCCGATCCAACTTTTTTTTATTCTTCCCATCTTTCATATAATTAGTCCCAGCATTTCCAGAATTTGATCGTGATAAGAAATTGCAAGCCCATGCGGGTCACACTGCCTCTTCCTTTCTCCACATGGACAGACTGTATTGTACTGTACCCATCTCAATCCAATGAGACATTTCCACTTTAAAATCTTTCACCAATACACTGATACATTGATAGTGGTATTGATGCCTTGATCTATTGTGACAACCTTAATTGCTATAAAAGGCAATAGGATTTCACATCAAACTGAGTAGTCTGTGCTTGATTGCAAACATTGTAAGTGCAGTCTGCAATCTGATCGGCTAAGTTCTGAGGCTTTGAGTGTCACAAGAGAAATGGCTTAGTTAATTGGTAAAGCTTATTTGACATGTTCACTGCCTTACGACTCACCAGAGACTTGATTTCAGGAAAACAAAGAGGTGATGTCACCAAGAGAAAGATTAGTCTAATCAGGTGTCATGTGTATATTCACAAAGGCCAGGACATCATGCCACAACTAAGAATATGAAATGCATTTTGACAGACAGACAGATTTGCAGACATTTTGGTCCCACAGTGAATGTGTTAAAAAAAGCTTATTTATGTTGTAAGCAAGTCATCAGGTAGATTGCATTACTGCAGTAATGCTGATATAGCTTTTTGAAAATTTTTGTAGATATGACTGAAGATTCTTGAAAGTTGGTTGTGCCATGTGGCACCATTGGACCATGAAAGGGTTAAGTAAAATTTGCTACATTTAGACGCCAACATTTTTTTATTTGAAGTAATATGGTTCCCAGTGCTCTCCACGAAATGTGCAATGTCAGGCTGACTCACTTTCTTCACTACAAATGTGCTTTTGGCTCTCCTTAGGATGCTTTTGTTGATCCCTGACATACTTTCCTCTCCAGGGATTAGGCCTTCACCTGTTACACCCCTCCCCCAGTAATCCCAGCCACCCCTCTTGCCTGGCTCATGTAACTGTCCCTTTCATTGCAAATTTGAGTTTTTTGCAAACATCAGGAAAATGGTGCAACAGAGACATTTTTGTTCCATTAGATGGATAAATCCTTTGATGCTAAGGAATATGTGTATAAAATTTCACTGCTCAGTGTTCAGCAGTTGTGTTGCTGGAGCATTAACAGACATGCATATATATATTTGTATATAACAAAGTGCAATTTTATTCTTATAATCAGTGCTTTCCTTTGCATGCACAATATTTTGAACTTTAATTCAGTAAGTCTACAGTTTCCCACTTTTCAGTTTGAATAACTTATATTCTCTGTTCTGAGGAGCCATTACTCTGATGTCATGTGCATGACATGAGACTGTTGGTTTTTTTTAATTCTACATTCTGTGGACATAATTCACCAGAACTAGATTCCCTGGCCACTGCTAACATAGTACCATAGGAGGTGAAATTGAAGTGGATTGAGTGGCAGGAGAAGCATTGCCAAAATTCAAATAACTGTGATCATGTTTGACTGACTTGTACTGACTCTCACCTGGAAAACATACATTTCATAAAAATTTGTCTGTGAGATCCTGTATGTAATTTACTCAATGTTTCTACCTTTTCTTTTTCAGTACCGAAAACCCCTACCAACAGGATCATCAGAAGAGATCCATCGGTCACTGCCTCCCCTTGCTAAGGATTATGTAGAATCTCTCCATCAAAACAACAGGGTTACTCTTCTCTATGGCAAGAACAATGTGGTTGTGCAACCAGTAAGTGGCTTTATGCTTTAGTTATACCCACTCTGGAGTACCTACAGGGTGACCCCCAAAAAAAAGGCAACAAATATAAACAAGGATGTTTTTCCTTCTACTAATCTGATTGAAACAAAACTCTACACAAATATCTAGTAGAACATAAACTTTGTAAAAAGCAACAAATTTCAATGTATTTTCATTTTGCTTTGATAAAAGTTTTAAAGGGCTTCAAAAAATTAACTGCAATGATTTGGAGCGTATCGTTGTCTATTTCAGCCCAGGCAGCCTGTTAGGATCTCTTGAGTGACTTGATGTTTTTCTATAGTTTAATAATGGCCTTTGCCTCAAGAATACTCTAAACAGAAAAATCCAACAAGGTTGAGATCTGGTGAACAAGGTGGCCATTCATATGCTGACAGGTTTGCTCAGCACCAATTTTGAGTTGTTTTTGCCTTGTGGGATGGCACAGAGTCTTGCTGGAAAGCTCAATCTTGAGTGAAATTGGCCATTCTTGAGAGTGTCATTCTTCCGTGAGCCAATGGGCATTTCACTCAAGAAGACTGAGCATTTCAGCAGGACTCTGTGCCATCCTAAAAGGCAAAAACCACTCTAAATTGGTGCTGAGCAAACCTGCCAGGATTTGAGTGACAACTCACTAAATAGACTTGATAGATGGGAAGAAAAACTGTATTTCTTGTAAGAAATAATCCAAAGAAGGAATTTCCAGTGGATGATCAATTGAAGGAGTCATCCATTCACTATGGCTAAGGCAGAGAATGTCAATGCTGGTATGGTGATATTTGGTATCACGCACCTCCTCTGGTAGTCACACTTTCTCTGTTTTTCACTGCCCAGCAGTGGTGTAGTGTTGGGGAGGCACCTGCCCCCCCCCCTCCTTCACAAAAAAAAAGAGAATTAGCAAGCATTAATGAGAAGAAAAGATGCATGATAACAGTGTCCCAGAGTTCCTTTGCTTCCCCAGTTTTTTTCAGCCACAAAATGCTTATGCTACCTCGGAAGGGTAGGGGTTCATAGTCAATCTTTTGAGCAGTTACTTGAAAGGTTATACATAGCTAATAATTTATGTATAATATAATGTGTATATTAAAAATTAGTTGCAGAGGCATCTGAAGGTCAATGACCCTCTTGTGTAACAGCCTCATGCAGTGACGTATTTTACAGGGGGTGGCAGGGGAAGCGGCTGCCCCCCTTAGCTTCCCTGGGACAGGGCTTGGTGCCCCCTTGGAGGTAATATTTTTCTCTCCTAATATCGCTCAGGTGACCCCTGCTCTGCTGTCCTGCCCTCCCCCCCAACTCTTCAGCCAAAATGCACCTCTGACCTTGTGCTACGTTTACCAACAACCGTAAGACTTGTCTGTGGATATTTACCACATCTCAGACACTATGTCATTAGCCTGTAACTCTTGATTTTGTAATGCAGATCAAATATATTATCTAATATATGTAGGCAATTGTGACTGAGTGACTGACTGACTGATGCTAATTCAAACCATGTTTGAGAGAAGTTAGAAATCTGAAATTTGGTACAGAAGTAGCTATTGGGATGCAGAGTTCATAAAAAATCCAACCTTGGAGGTACATACCCCAGGGGCATATTTTTTTTGTTGTTGGAGGGGGGGGTGACATTTTCAAATAATTTTTTGGTCCTACCGAATTGGGCGGAGATAGAAAGGTGAAACTTGATACCGAAGTACCTATTGGGAAGCTGAATGCAAAAAATTCCGACTTTGGAGGAAAATGCCCTGGGGGCACAAATTCCAGGGGGAGATGCTTTCAGATAGTTTTTTTGCTTCTGTCAAGCAAATAAACTTGGAAAGCTGAAACTTAACATGGACATGCCAACTGGGACTCTGAGTTCAGGAAAAATATAAAGTTTTGTGATGGCACAGCTATTGGCTCCATCGGATTTTCAAAATATATTTTTGCACCAGCAAATGAATAAAACTGAAACTTGATAGGTATGTAGTTCTTCCAGTATTGATTTCAGTTAAAATGTTAATTTTTAGGTAAAACTACTCAGGGCACATTTTTTGCTGAAGGTGCATTTTCTGGAATCTTTTCTCATCCAATGCAAGAGAGAACTAAAGGAAGTTGAAACTTGGAGCAGAAGTACCTGTTGGATTGCTAAGTGCTTATCCTACTTTTCAAATAAGACCCCTCAAGACAGATTATGAAGAGATTTGAAGTTAGGCACACAAGTAATTGGAGTAATTATTTCAATGGAAATATTGGTTCTTTCTCTATCGGCACACATTTTGACAGGCACATAATTTTAATATGTTTTTGCCACTTTGAAAATAAATTAATGAATGAATCACCAACCTGGACAAGGGAGAGTTGCAGGTGTGACCATAGCGAGTTTGTTTGCCTGAAGGGCAAACAAACTTGCTAGTATACCATATAATTGATAATATTTGAATACATGTGTAGTGGAATAATGCAAATATATGAGCATATATGGCCATATAAAACCATAAACCCTGTCATGTGTGGAAATTTCATGAGTCTGCTCCAGAATATTTCATAACATTGGGAATGCCAGAAATTTCATGCACATTGTATGACATTTTCAGATAGCAAAAAACACATGACAACATCCTGTTGAGTTTTCACGCTGAACCATCCACATGAACTGTGTTTTTTTTTTTTTTTTTTTTTTAGCACAAATCAAATGTGAATTTGTTCCACATAAATCGCATGCCTTTTCACTCAGAATGTTGACCATTTAGGCAAAATATGCCATAATGCAAGCATGGGTAGCTGTAGATGCATGAAATTTCAAGAGATTGAAGAACATAATAGCCAACATTGCATTACACTTTCAAGTCAATTGATTGAAAAATGTGGATTTTATAATGAAACTTTGAGTTCTTTTTTTGCCAACCCTATAGGTTAGACCAGTGGTGTCAAACTGGCGGCCTGTGGGCCAGATCCGGCCTGCAAAGTCCTCTTCAACAGTTGGTTACAGAAAAGTGCTACAAATTTCAGCCTGTTTGCATTAAAGATTAGGCATTATGTTTTTATAGTGGCCCCTGATCTCCCCTGAAGGCTTCCATCTGGCCCCAGTCTAATCCAGTGTGACACCCCTGGGTTAGACAATATTTTTTACAAATGCAGCCCCCAATATGTTCAGTTAGGGAGTCCTTTGAACATTATACAGAGTGCGTGGAAAGTGCTGCAACCAAATTCTTTTTTGTTTGAATAATTTTTTTGTTTGAAATTGCATTTTTATCACTTGTGATATGTTTTTCAATTGTGTCCTAATTTTGTCTCTTTTATTATATCTGTTTTTTCAACTGGTGGTTTTGTCTTCAATTTAATATTTAAAAAATTACAAAAATAAGGTTGCAGAACTTTCCATGCACCCTGTAGACTTACATCATGAAATGTGGGACAGCAAAGAACTGTAGTAGTGAAGGCCAAACCTATGTAGTAAGCCCTGGAATAACCAAAAATGCCAAATTCTGTTCTCCTAAAGTTACAGGTTAATTGGGTCTTACATGCAATTGGAGTGAGGTGCGGCTGAAATGAGAGAGAAGGTTTGCTGGAATTCCAGAGCTAAGTCAGCTTCATAGGGCTTGAGCCTTTTGTGTCTGGTAATTATCACATTGTGTCATATCATACCAAGCACAATGAGTGGGAATGCACACAGGCAAGAAGTGGCCCAAATGTGGATCAGGAGTTCATATACTTAGTTGTTTAGATGCTTTAAATTAAACTAACAGTATAGCTTTTTGTGACAAAATGCCTTGAGGTAAAAGAACAAGTTGCAACTATGATTAGAATAGTGAAGATAATAAGCAGGAACAAGTGGGACCAGTATATATACAGTTTCTTTGATTTGAAAATGGCTCCCATATCTGAAAGTAGGAAAGAGAGGGGAAGAGGGAAGAGGTGGAGAGAAGAGGCAGGGCAGGAGGGACGAGACAGGGAGGGGTACTTCACCCATCTTACTTCAGACAGAAAGGATCAGATTGGATGCTCAAGTCAAATGGTCAAGCCAAAGGTCAATTCTGGCCATTGGACCAGATATTGCCTAAGTCAGTGAATTCAATGGATGGAAGGAAAACCATTTCCTCTCATGGCAGAATGACAGCAGGAACTGAGTTTGAAGGCAGCTGAAGGAGACCAACATCTCCACATGTTTATAATAAGCTGTCAAATTTTGAAGAGGAGGATTAGTGGAAACAGTTTATCAGCATTTCGGGCAATGGGCATTTCATCTGCCTATCTTGTTGAATGTGGGGGTGACTTCATATTGCAAGATGATGATGCCAGCTGTCAGAGAGCAGCAATAGCGATGGAATAGAAACAAAAAAATTGCATTCACCTGCTTCCATGGCCTATTTGAAGCCCACCTCAATCAATCATTGGTGGGAAGCACCCAGATTGCCCTTCTACATCTGCAGAGACCTTCCAAATGTTGCTGAAGACTGAAGGTGGAAACACATCATTCTAGAGAAAAACCCAGTTTGATGCCAGTAATAGGCAGATTTGTTAAAATTTTGTGGTAAATATAATTTGTACAACTCATTTAAAGTTTCTACAGGGATGTCAAGAAATGGGAAGGCAGGAAGTGTAGGCATTATTTGACTCCATGATTCATTTAATTGTACTGTCAGAAGCATTTTCTTGCTGCTGGTCTTTCTTTTTTTTTTTGAGAGTGTCTTCCCATTCATTGCATCCTATTATTGCTGTATTTCCAATAGAATCCAGAAGTTGAAGCTTTGGCTGGATACTTGTCACTTCACCAAACTGTTGAGGGCCTACTCATGCGGTGGACCCCCAATCAACTCATGAATGGGTGCTGTGAAGAAGAGAATGTTTCCCCTCCCCCACAGGACAAAAGGTAGTCATACATCTCTGCTTAGAACTCATTCCATCCTGGTTCTGATTAATTTATCCTTTTTGTTTTGTAAAGACCCTCTTTGGGCATCTATTCCATGTAATATGTGATGATATTGGTTTGCATGTATGTCTTAAAAATGTATTTTCAGTTTCCTAACTTCAGTTATCTTGGCTCATCTCATTTCTGTACTGAAGAGGAAGCATGGGAACAATAGATGAATCGGAGGAAGGGGGAATTGATTTAATGCAGAAGCGGTTCAAGCGTAGTGTGAGCATTCCCACCTTCCCATCTCCACTTGTCCGTAATCCATCATTCTTGCATGCCTCCACTCGTGCACTGGAATGCATCCAAAGCGCGTGAGTTTGCTTTCATCCCCCACCCACCATGACTGCCATTGAAAGCACATCTTTCCTAATTCATGATTTGATTATATTTTTCATTTGTTTGAGAAAATTCCATGTCTACCTTCCCAATATTTGATCTTTTGACATATGCAGAATGGAAAATTCAAGTTCCCACTCTGAGCCAAAGATGAGTCACATTTTCTCATTGACCTTTGGAATAAAATCTGGAACAGTATTTCACTGCAATAAAAGTACAAAGTAAATATGCAGTACATACTAAATACAAAATAAAGGAAGACTAAATACGTCAAAAGAAATGTAAGACTTTTAAACTCTGAAATGGAATTTTAAAAACAACTGCAAGCTCTTCTTTTCTTCTTCATGAAGCAAAGAGGCCAGCTCGGAAAAGGTGCTCCTTTAAGCTAACTCTTTCTCTGGTACCCCTAAGAAATTCTCAACCTGACCTTTGCCCAAGGTAAACTAGAATCTCAAAACTCACCAGTGATAGGTTAATGTCCAGATGTGCACCTGTAGGTTGAGAAGTAAGAATCCTTCTTCAAGTCCTTCCCTGTAATGATTAATGACTGTATTAAATTGCAGAATGGAGAAGAATTGTAGAAGAATTGCAAAATGAATAAGCAGGGGAAATTTTTCACCCTGCTAATAGATGTACCATCCTGCTCATTGCAATTTACCATCAGCTTTTTCAAGCAAATTGTTCCAAACCTAAGTTAGATTGATTTTCAGTCTCCACAAGATAGTCACTGAACTAGGTCTGGAGTTATGAGTCATAAACAAGTAGTACACTCTGGGATATTTAAATTTATTCCTTTCAATAAAAATCTGTTGATGGGTTTATCATTATTCAGGAAGCACCACCACTGAGAGATGAACCCTTTATGCTGCCCGTAAAGCCGATGCATTCTCTGGAGGAGTTTAAGCACTTTCCAGAAATGACTCACTATGGCAGTGATTAAGGCACCATCTCACTTCAGATGTGTGAATCTTGTTTGTTTGAGTAGCTACCAGATGCCTATTGCTCACTTATTTTACCCCAGTTTTTTGCCCATAATTCTTGACCTTGTGGATTGATTGGGTTGGATTTTAATTTTACTCATCAAGATATATGTAATGGCACCCATGCTATCAGTAGATACAAATGGACACCTGGCCATCCTCCTTTATTACTGTTGACAATTCCCTTCCAATTTTTATAATTCTGGTTTGGCAGGAGCAATGAAAAAAATATATAGAACATGCATTGATTGGTTTCCTTATTTATTATATACAGAGAACAAATGGGACTATACCTTGTTAGACTTAGGTTCCACATTCGCTTAATTTATTTTAGACAGAACATGCAGCAGACATATACAGGGTGGGCCAAAGAAATATTTGGTTGTCTTTCACACTTCACAGCATTGTTTTTCAGGATTTTGAAAATATTGCAGTGCATCACTATATAGAGCATTTATCTAGCTTTCCATTGATATAAAAAGATTTAAGATCCAAGTAGTCATTCCGATGCAGTTACGCACAGTGTAACAGAGGTAGCACTTCCGCAGCATGCACCTGATGAGATCGAGCCGGGAGACTGAAACTGACGGCAAAAAAAATCTTATTGGGCTTCCCTCTCTTTTCCCACTTCCTGTCTCCGATCCGACTTTTTTTTCCCTTCCCGTCTTTCATAGTCAGTCCCAACATTTCCAGAATTTGATTGTGATAAGAAATTGCTCGCCCATGCGTGTCACGCCGCTTCTTCCTTTCCTCGCCCGGACGGACTGTATTGTACAGTACTCTCCTCAATTCAATGGGACATTTCCCCTTTAAAATATTTTGTCAATGCATCGCAATGGTCGAAAAAACTATCGATATCTCTAACTATCGATAGTGGTATCGATGCATCGATCTCTTGTGACAGCCCTACTCTTTATCTAACTGCATAAAAGTCATGCTACAAATCTTTATTCTGTTGACATCATTGGAAAGCTGAATGAATTTTCTATTATGAGGTGCAATTGCAATTTTAGCAAAAACGGGACCAGTGCTGCTGAATGATAAAGATAACCGAAGTTTTTTTTGGCCTACCCTGTACAACTGATCTACAGTGTTTTTCACTTCAGTTAGACAATTTTTCACTTGACTAAGACACCTATGTGAGGGGTATTCAGAGAGGAGGCGAGGGCGCTGGTGCCCCTGGTGACTAGCAACATCTTTCTTTCCTTCGAATATTTAGACTTTTTCATATGAATCAAACTATGTACTGGAAACGATGAACCGCATGCATAGCCATGTTGTCAACAGGAGACCTTCCTTGCAGTCTATTTAAATAAAAAGGCTCTAAGTAGCTAAGAGTACAGTGTTCTTGAACATCCACATCCGAAGCGACCATGATATCCCTTCTTATTGTCCTTTGCATTACCAGTATTTATGAATTTTGTTACTGGCCTGTTTATTGCAGATGTGCTTGGAGTGTTCCTACATCTAAATTCACTTTGAAAACCACACAGCACTTTAATAACACTGCCAGTTTGATAAAACTTTTTCACCATAAACACCTGCTGCTCTGTGATATACACAAGCTTGTTTGCTACTGTTTCTCGAAATCAGCACTAGGACTGCATAGTATAATACAAAACTCCCAAGCCTGACGTGTCAAATGATACCACATATGAGGTTGTTGGCAATGTAGTTCAGGAAATAGGAGCATCTTTTTCTGAGGACCCTGTATTTTTCCCTTAGGCAATGGCACCCCCCCAACTGATCACCTAGTGGCAGCTCATGCATAGCCAATTGATGGCTACATATTAAAAATTGAGCTATGGCTGTAATAATAAAAATATCAGTGGGATGGTTTACCCTGAAAAGAATAACCCTCATCCACCAATGAAGTGGGCCTATTTCTGGCATTAAACACTACCGGGTGATATATATTTTCCTTGATGTTGCTAATACCATGTGGAACATTTTCTCAAGATGTGCTCAAAAGGAAAGCATGCATCTTGAAGCTCAAGAGAGTCACCTTTGTAGGCAGTGCATGTTTGGAGCCATTTGTTGAAGTGAAGCACTCTGCTTCTCAGCTGTCAGATAGGATATGAATGTCAGTGCTTCTCTGTCATAGAACATCAGCAAACTTTTCAGTCTTGCAGCTGCATGGTTGTGCAAAATCTGATACATGATGTGATAGGATATGGTGTGAGGTGTAAGCCCACTACTTGCCAGAAAAAAAGGAGAACTTGTAATCCCTTGCACTATATCAGATATGATTTATGCTTTTAAAATACTTTGTTAAACAATGTAGGACTTCATCAAAAGGGGACTACCCTTTGTATGTGATCCTGTGTGTGTAGCATATCTAAAAAAGTAAAAACTCCATTTTGTGCTCAAAGCAACTAAGGTGGTCATGCAGAGAATGCTTCATTCTTTAATGAATAGAAGACTTCTATTTTCATTCCAACTACCAAGGTTGAGTGTGGGAAACAAAGGATCAAATCATTCAAGTGACTCCAAGTGCATCATCTTGCAAAGTATAATTTTGCTAATACTGATTGTTTTGATGTTCTTCTACAGTGTATATTGGGATTATGCCCTGAACCTGAAAGTGGATGACATTGTGTATCTCCATTGCCATCAATCTGGTGAGAGCATAGCAGGACACTTCACCTTTTTAGTGTCATTTAAATATGATTTGGAAGTTGATAAGATGAATTTGTTGGAAATATTCTTGTAGCTGGAGAGAAGGGAGGGACATTAGTGCTGGTGGGGCAAGATGGAGTTCAGCGTCCTCCACTCCAGTTCCCACCTGGGGGGCATTTACTTGCATTTCTTTCCTGTCTTGAGACTGGGCTTCTTCCAAATGGACAGTTGGACCCCCCTCTCTGGTCTCAGAGGGGCAAAGGTATGCCAATTTTTTTCTTTCTCTCAAGCTTAATCAGTCTTTTTTTGTCTGAATGGTTGGTTGATTTTTTTTTTTTTCAGGAAAAGTGTTCCCAAAGCTTCGACGGAAGGGGAGGTCACTGACTGATGGAGATGGAAAAGATGAGGCCATGGATTATGTGTTCCGTATCCTCACAAATGTCAAGCCCTCTTCCCTTAGTGCGTCATTTTGTGCATTGAATTATGCAGCAAATCTCATGAATGTGCCTTACTAATTTAGCACCCCTTACATGTGGAGTATTTAATGTGGTTCACCTTGATCCTGTGTATTTTCTTTGTCTATAACTATTGGGTCTGGCATCCACAAGTCCAGAATGCATTTCATGGGTGATATTGACATTCTAGGTGCTGATGTGCTGGAGAGGACTCAGAGCCTCCTCCCTGGACTGGGTTTGGGAAGAGTGAAGAAGAAACCTCCTCTATCCCCACGTACCCCCACATCATCACCCCGCCTCCCGTCATCCACATCTTCCACCTCCTCCACCAAGAGCCTTTCCCTCCCAGAATCGCTCTCCGTCCCTCCCTCTCCCATCCCTGAAGGGTGAGTACATATGTACTGCCTGTCTTGAACATTCCATGCCCATGTTGCCTTCTTGCCTTTGTGGTAATTGGCAATAGTTTGGTAATTGGCATCAGCACTTTTAGGCCTACTGTAGGTTTTGCTTTGAAATGGACCACTTTCTTCCAATTGTGTGGCTTTAGTTTGGTCCACACTTCATCCAGATGATATAGTTTAAATAAAATAATTTCCTTTTTTAGGATACAACAGGTGTGTGATACAATGCGCAGACAAATAATCTCAAGAGCTTTCTACGGCTGGCTGGCCCATTGTCGACACCTGCGCACTGTTCGCACCCACCTCTCTGGACTTGTGCTTCCCACCATTGTCTCTCCCACTCAGCCTACAGGTAAAGTACTATCTATTCAGGTATCTTCTGATTTATAGTCTCAAGGAGGGAATCTATAAGAACTGAAGAACCTCCATTCTATTGGATATTCATGAGCTGATTGCCAAACTAGTCTTTCAACCCTAATCAGGCATAGACTTACTGAAAACATAGTATTCCAGCATCTTTGAAGTGGTAGCGGTAGGAAGGTACATAGAAATACAATCGAGTGCTGCTGATTTGCTTTTATTTTTTTTATCATCTCCATGATATTCTGTTTTCATTCTGTGGTGTCAGATGGAAGCAAAGGTGTGACAGAGGAAGTTTGGTTGAGCTTCCACCAGGACTCCCAAGTTACTGATGCTGATGAGATCTACCGTCTTGTTTACTTTGGAGGGGTGGAACATACCATCCGACCCCTTGTATGAGTCCTTCCTTACGAATATATTCCCAGTGCCCCATGAAAATGTCATTTGTATTCAATCCACTTTGTATGTGACTAGGTGTGGCCATATCTACTGGGCCACTATCCTTTTGGGAGTACAGAGGAAGAGCGAGGAATGTTAGATGAGGCAATCCAGGCACACTATGAGACCACATTGTCTGAATGGTTGGCTGTTGAGGCGATTGTGAGGCAACGGGATAAAGAAAACCTAGCTGCCACCCTTGCCAAACTTTCCTCAGAGAGTACTAGTGAATCTCGCTCCCAGGAGCTAGAAGCTGCCCTTGCTGCTCAGGGCCAAAACATGAGCAATGAGGTACTGGTATTTATCTGTTCTAACCTTTTTTTTTTTCACCCTGCTTGATATGGGTCCCAGCCCACATGACTAGTGAGAAGCAAAGGCCATAAAATGGGCATTTGAAGAGTAAAAGGAGCTGCAAGGGACTCCATGGCCTCTTGCTTAGATGGGTAGACTGTACCATTTGATTCTTCTTGATACTGTATTTTAGTATGCAAATGGAAACTGTGAAGACTATAGTTTGCCATCCCTGGTTGTAGTCATAGTATTGAATTGGTATGAGCAGGTGTTTGATGATGGTGAGGTGGAGGCAGATGGAGCTTCATGTGCTTTCAGGGCTCCAGATGATGAAAGTAATATCAAAATTGAAGCTGAACCCAAAGCCTCAGATGGTAGTACAAGGATTGGGGAGGAAAACAAACTGGCAAGTTCCTACACATTTATTTATTTTTTATAGGTAGAATGCCTTAATTAATGAGAAAATAATGGAAGTTTCTTCTTCGATTAGGAGGAGCAAGGGAACTCATGCACCCCAATGGAATCTCTTTCTAATACTGGTAAGCATTAAAAAATAAACATTTATGAGAGAATAAAAATATTTTTGGCATTGTTTCCTTATACATATTTTTTACAGCACTGACTGAAGAGAGAGATGTGGCAGCTGAGGGAGACAGAAATATTGTTGTCACAAACCCTTCAGTTGACCAGGGTCCATCTCCTGTCCATGGCAAGTTGTCCTAATCATGTGGTAAATATTGCTCCAATGACTCCAAATTGGTGGTTGAAGTTGAGAATTTATGCAGAAGTGATTGGAGAGGGACTGGGAACAGCAGAGATAGACAAGTTGAGTGTGGCGACTGATGATTCCAGGTCTAATTCCCCAGCCAGTTCCCAAGGTGGTGTCTACTCGGTCAGTCTCTTCTGATTCCTCATGCCTAAAGCCTACTTAAGTCTTATCGATTTTCCAGGTCCTGTCCATGTATACAGGGTAAGGCAGAAAAAGACACCCAACTTTGAATGTGTTGCTTCCATCGAACTGGAAGAACCTGCAACGCTCTACGCTATCGATTCCCTTAACGATCTTAAATGTTTAATTGAGATCCCCCTCGTCTACCTTCGCTCGAGCAAGTACGGTCCCTACTCTAAACGCCTCTCGTATGGAAGACCTCGCACCTCGTTCGTCGTTCTCGTCTCCCACTTCTGGATCCTCTTGAGCGCCGTTAGTTCGCATTTATTTGCAGGCCTCCAGAATCGAACGCAGTACTCTAGATGGGGTCTTGCCAGCGCCGCATACGACGGACGAACGACGTGCGAACTCTTACCAGTTATGGAAGGTCGGATCGCGTCGAGAATCCCCTTACATTTAGCTACCGTTGCTTGCGCGAGAGAACTCGAGGTCCTCGTCGATGATGATCCCTAAATCTCTCTCTCCGTTTGCCTCTTCCAGTTTATCTACGCCGGGGGTGCACGACTCGAAAGACTGTGAGGGCCACTTACGATTTTTAATCACCTACCGCAGGCCGCATCTACTCCTACTTACTTCCGTAGCTGTGGCCGACGAAGCAGGAGCCTTAGTAGCACGATGCCACCCACCAGTCGTGGCGGGCCGTGGGAAAGAGCCTCGCGGGGCGTAAGTTGTGCACCCCTGATCAACGCCGAACTCGTTCAGAGATCTATCGATATTATGACCGATGCGAATAATCTTGCGCTTTCTTTTTTGAAACCCGTTTCTCGTTCCACTCGTCTAAAAACTGTAAATCCTGCTCGGCTCTCGCCGTGTCCCGCCCCCCTTCCCGATGGAGAAACCCATTTTGGTCTAGTCGGCAGATTTCACGATTTTACTTGCTAGGCCTCCATCGAAATCGTTGACATGGACCGGAAAAAGAAGCGATCGTTCGGCCTCGCCCCGACTTCCGTCGACGCTTCGCCATTAGGGTAAAGCGGCGAAACCAGAACGCCTTCATCAGGGTGAGGGTTGAGTCGAACGCACGAAAAATTCTCATGATTTCGTCTTTATGCGCACCCTGTGAGGTACATCTCATGCGCTTTATTTAACCTCTATGTATCACAGATAAACCCATGAAAGGTTCTGGGTGACCATGCAGTTCTGTGACTGAGACAACGGAGGAGATCGTTCCAGTGTCGAAAATTGTGTACCTTGTAATTAGGTTCAGGTTATGGAGTAGGTACCTTGAATTTATTTTTTCTCATGGTGTACATCACGCATGTTGCCCAATGGCCTTCTTTAGCTATTATATTAACTGTAGATATATTTTATGGCATTCGGAGTCGAATTCTTTCCAAGATGCGAAACTTCGCGGCCGTTCGACTCTAACCTCACCTAAGCTCGTGTTGCTACGATACTCGAATGTTGGTGGTCGAGTTATTCTTCATAGACTAGAGCATGCCTGCTAAACTCAACCGTCAAACGCTTTCACCCTTTGCATGGTTGCGAGAAAATATTTCGTTGAAACTCTGTGAACCAGTATAATGTGTTGCTTTCAAGAATATTAATCTTCTAATTTGTGATGACACGGGATACTTTATGCCTGGATGAAAAGCAAGCTCAAAGGGGCCAAGGCATCGAGGAAAACAATGCCACCTTCTGGCAAAAAAGCCACAAAAAGAGGTCGCTAGTCACGAACGCGAAGTACTAGTGTTAGTACACGAATGAAGCCGTACGTCAAGCTGCATACGCAGTCCCGGGAGGTATGGGGCATACAGTGGTGTAGGGAAGGGGGGGGTCTAGGGGGTCAGAACCTCCCCTCTTGGGCTTCCTGGTCAGTGACAGACAGGCATATTTCAGCCTTCCTTGGGAATTCCAGTTTTAGCTATCCCCCTTCCGAGGAGAAGTCCATCCACAGACCCAAGATGCCAGACCACGATTTCTTCAGAAAGATAAATTCCGGGTGGTGGAGCTAAGCGTAGGGTTGGAGTGTCTACTTGGTCTCAACCCCCCCCCCCCCCCTTGCCGATTTCCTGCCTACGCCACTGCGTCGATGGGACTTTCATCGAGTTTCTCTGCTGGATTTTGCAGATATGGGTTAACTTCTCGTGGTTGCCTTTTCGTTCATTCCATGCGTGCACTGATCGGTTCGTTTGGGAGACGCCAGGTTTCACACGGAAGAAACGTTCCCAGAAGTTCCGTGCACGACGGGCCGTCTAACCTGACGAAAGGCCTCACGAGAGACTCTTCATGAAGTCGAGACGGGAAGCAATGGTTGACACAGGTACGCAATGACACAGGCATCTTTATTATAGGATGGTTGCAGTGGTGCACGAACATTGCAAGCTGAACAAAATCGGCGGGAATAATTAACAAAATCGGTTCATCGTTTTTTTTTTAAGTATAGACATATCTCTAGAAAAGTGGTGCCGCGAGGTCCTAACCCGCAATAATTACCTTCAGGTTTTCTTGAAATAATCTCCTACAATACTAGTGACTGCATATGGCCCGCGATGGCTGTGGGAGTGAGCCATGTAGCCCCCTAGCCGAAAAGATTGGGCACCACTGTTCTAGAACCTCATAATCGTTCTTCGACTCTTCGCCCGGCCAATATGCGATTCCGACGATTCCTGCTTACGCCTTCATCGGGCCCCGAGCAACTGCAGCCTCGGTTCACTGCTCTTTCCAAGTCGCAGCAGGCCTTGAGGGCCCATCGGAAAGTGTTTCCCACCGATCCGGAATGGAGATACGGCCGACCCTCGATGTGCCTGGCCCGCGATGTTTTTTGGCGCTTTATCGAATGAACCGCGACGAATGTACGCCAGTGGCCGCGATACCTGAATCTCCGAGGGACAAATAGACAAAACACGGATGCGAAACTTATATTGCCATCATTCGTCCCCTCCGACCCTTGCCCCATGCACCATCAATCCCATGGGTCACCTCTCACAACGCCAGCATATTTAGCTGCGTTTAGCACTGGGGTGGCGGCACGCATACTACTCGGCGCAAAATCGTGGAGGAATCACGTGGGAAAAAGCATGTTTGCACGATTGCTGGTGTCGATGGCGGATTGCGAGGATGGCGCTATAACGGGCGATCGCCTATTATATGGTCATGGGGAAGTTTTGCCATCAGGAAAGAATTGGCGGTAAGAGAGGGTTGTAGTCGAGAGTTCACTGCACCTTGTTCGCAGAAAAACGAATGAATAAACGCAGCGAAAACCAAGTAAACCACATGATGAAGCAGACCTCCCTCGTCTTTTACGTGGAGCTCTAACACACGACCGATAACATATACGTGCGCGGTACCAGTAGGGTTCGGACAGACAGCAGGAACAGATTGGCATCGGGAAAACGCGAAAAGAAATTTGCACGTACGAGTGTAGGAGCTACAACAGACTCACGACAGGAGACGTGGCTCGATTGCCTTGTGATTACTATCTGCGCCCTTCCGCGTCAACAGCAACATGGAATAAATACCACCGTCCTTAACCCTCATCCGGGCGACGGGAGTCCATTGGACACCGCAGGGCATAATTCACTGCATCACTCTTTGGCTTTTTTATTTTCTACAAATTTAACGTGTCTTTTATAGTTATCCATAGATCCAAAAAGAATGTTTAATTTTGACTTGCTTTTAAGGGAAAAATGCATCCAATATTCGCCCCTTGCCCGTTTATGTCGCAAAAAGACCTAGCCCGGATAAGGGTCAATAAACAACTCAGCAAACGAAAAAAAAAAAATCATGTTAAAAAAAAAAAACAGCTCAGGGAGACTTGTCATCCATCTGAAGGATGACGGTCTTGAGCGCATCCAGCTCCACGAACCCGCCGCCCCCGTCGTCCCCGCCCGTCTCCCTGATCTTCCTCAGCGCGTTCCCCACGATGCACAGGTCCCCTCGGAGCTCCTTCACCACGTTCGAGACTTTCTCCACGCTGCTGAGGACCTCCACCGACTGGGTGTAGGCGTTGTACCGGACGCCGAAGGGGCGCTGGATCGTCGCCGCGAACTCTCTGCGGGTCGCAGGAAATGGAAAACTTTCGAACCAAACCTTTTCTTCTTTTTTTTTTTTAGCTTGGAACCCGAAGTGAACGTGAACCCGATTGGAGCGAACCCACGCCCACATAACTTGTCTGAGTAAAATTTTTATTTTATTATTTTATATCTGCATTTCTCGTTTGAAGTGCGTTTAAATCAATTTAAATTAAAATGCCATCTCAATACTGTACTTGGAAAACTAAAATACCAAACCATGTCCAAAATATTAAAATATCAAATTGTGAAATGCAAACGTGACAAAAGTGCCAATGATAAGAAAAAATATTTATATGCTACGAATCCTCGAGTGATTTTTTTGTCAAGTGAACATCACAGTCTCTAAATTAGTATCGTGACTGATCTTTTCCTTCGAAAGCGAGAGTGCGCATGCGGAAAAGACGAAAAATCGACCGCAGACCCCCACCTCATCTTATCCTTGGCCTGCTCGAGAGACCGCGTGTAGAAGTATCGCTGCTGGAAGGTCGTGATCATGCACTCGGTCCGCGTGACCTCGTCCGGGTCGAACGGCCTCACGACCGCCTCCTGCGACACCGCGTGCTTCAGCTCCGCCACGCACGACAGCAGCCCCGCCCCGTACACCTTCAGCTCCCCCGTCTCCGTCGTGCACAGCCCGAACTCGATCGTGAAGAAGTAGAGCTGTGGGAGGTTGCAGACGCACGTCAGTCGCGGCTCGTCCGCGCTGGAGGCCAGTCCAAGAGCTTGCGTGTTGAGTGTGTGTGTGTGTAGGGTGGGTGGGGGGACTCACGGTGGCGAGGTTCTTCACGTCGTCCTCCGATGCGCCGAGTGAAGCCAAGCCGATCTCCTGCGAGAACTGGGCGAAACTCGGATCCGCCAGGAGAGGGACGTGGCCCAATAATTCGTGGCAGCAGTCCCTGGGTTGGGGGGAGGGGGAAGACAAATTCTTGCAGCTCTTGTTACGAAGGATTTATTTGAGCTAAGAATGCGTTTGCACGTTCCCCGATCTGTTTCGTTTGTATGAATGGAAACTTCCTGGAATTGCAGAAAGCCAGTGCAAGGGAAAGCTGCAAACTCTCTCGTGAGAGAAGTTTCGAGTATTTTTCGTGAGAATTACGATAACAGCAAGACACGAATTGAGTTCTGCAAAAACTTTTTTCCTCAAGGCCACCACAGACGACATTTCAGGGAAGTGAAAACGATCGATTACTATAAATCCATTGTGCCTTCGATGCACTCGTCCCATTTCGCTCATCGAGATTCTAACTGCACGATCGATTAATCGAATAATTAATGCTTACGATCAGATGAAACTTTGCAAAGGAAAGATTCACTTTTACTGACACATTCATTCTTGCCTTTGCGGATCCAGGAAACTCACGGCTCTGGCGTGTAGAATGGATCCGAAGAATGTCGGATGTACTGGGTGCAGCTGAACACCCGAAATGCAAGGGCAGCTAAGAAATCTCTTGGGGTCAGATAGCCAGCCACTGGTCTCAGCGTGAATCCCGTCTTCCCTGGATAGTTAGATTTTATTTATTGATTTATTTATTCTTCAATTTTGCTCATGAGCCAGTCCTCACGACTAACGAACTCGCAGGCACTCACGTTTCAGGAAGTTGCTCACGTCTTGCAGCTGAGGGATGTTGTCTTCCCTGGTGAAAGAAAAGAACTTTATGAGCTATCTTGCTTTCGTTATTCCTTAAAGGATTATATGATTGAAGAGGGAATCACCTGTATCCGCAGTGCCTCTGAAGAACGGGCCAGTTTTTCAAGAATTCCGGGCAAGCGTGTGTTGGATAAAGTCGGAAGAGTTCTCTGTATATAACGCCCCTGTTTCAGAAAGAACATTTCGACAAATCATTCTCACTTTGCCTGGTTATAGTTTTTTCTTTTTTTTTTAATGAAAAGGAAAATTGAGGGGCGAGAGCATTGAGTAGTAAAGTACATGACCACTGCGCTTATGGCATCCCTGAGACTTGGATCAGTTCGCGAAGGAGGCCACGTGCTGTGCATCGCAGTGAGTCCTTCGAGTAGAGACACTCTGAGAACTTAATTGCTTAGAAATATTGAATTCATTCTGGGCCATTTTCATTTGATAGTTTCTTGTGCATTACCAAAATGAGTTCTTCCTTCCCCGCTGCAAGTACATAGTTCATTAGGCCTAATGTTAGGTATCAACAAGACAGGCACATGAAAGTCCAGTCTAGACCAGTAGTTTCGAACCGGTGTTTCGTGATTTTTTGGATTAGAACTTAATAAATATCTCAACTTGTTTCAGCAAGGCCGTAGGGACTCCGTTCTCTCTTCCCCCAGAGCCTTCTATAAGCTGACTAAACTTAATCCTCCCTACTCCATTAAACCCCATGCCATGCCGAAGAATAAAAACTTCTGCTATTACTTTGCCTGTGCACAGTATGACTCATTCGGTAATTCTGCAGTTCATACAGGCAGAACTCAACTGCAGCTATGTATTTAAAGTTTGGTCAGTATTTAGTTCTTCACTTAAATTAAGTCAAGGTGTGGGCCAAGTTTCCCATTGAATGAATACTGTTAGTATTTACTCTCCTAGGTATGTCATCGAAAATGTAAGGTAAATAATTTGTGCTGCAAGTTTAAACAGTTTTGGACCACAGGTCAAGTGTTATCTGAATACATCAAGAGCTGATGTTTTTACATATATTCATGCTTACCACAGGCCTAACCTAACAGTGTTTAAGCATATATGTGCTCTAGACTTGTTGCTAACAGAAGCTTGGATCTGTCAAAAATGGCATTGTCCTTCTTTTTAGGTGTTCAGAGGTGTGAAAGAATGGGGGATCCCATTTTAAGGTTAGAGTCTTTCAAGACTTTGAAGCAATGCTGTAATGATGATGAATTCAGGAAGAGTGTTGAACAACTGAAGAACTTGTGGCCAAGAAAAGAAGATCCAATTGACAGGGGTCTAGAACCTTGTCTTGAAATCATCATGCAGCATATGCAGTGCAAAGATGAAGCACTGAAACCACTACTTTCATCATTTTTCATGGAAGGACCATCCATTCCTGCAGTGCATGTGCTTCTCACTTTTCTTAAGGACAAGTCTCAAGGACAGGTGGCTAATATATTGGGGGTGATTGTAAGAGAGAGCATCATCCCTACACTCATTCAGATTACAAAATCATCTTATAGGCATGAGGCTTGCGATGAGTGGGAAGATTTTTGTGCAGAGCTGGCTCGAATCCCAGATTTGACTGCAAATGCCTTACACATGGAGGTGCCAGATGAGTTAAAGGCAGGAAACTTTGAAAGCATTCTTGGAGGACACATATCTGACACTTTGAATCATCTGGCAAACAACGCATGCATTTCAAGGGACTCAATCACACCATTGAGCATTTTGGTGGAAAAGGTGGGAGTTATAGGTGACATAAATTCAATGGTGAAAGAGTTCCTCTCCAGGGAACCCCAAGGACTGGATGAACTCTTTGAGAATGTTAGAGATCGGGGAATCGAACGTGTCCTATTAGCAGTGTTGCAAAACTCCTCTCATCATTCTCATGTTTGCAAGCTACTTAGTCTTTCACTTCTTGATAGACCCATGGTACAATATCTGGTTTGTCAAAAGTTCTTGCTCCAAAAGGTTCTGAAGGACAGCACCTTGTTAAACATCTTGTCTTTTACATCTCTGAAAGAGGGATGTTTGGTCAATGTGCTCCTTCAACTTCTGGATGTGTGGGGTGATGGCAGTGCAAGAAAGCACAGACCATTTGAACAGCATCTCTACTTATCAAAAGCCATTGTGATGAGCTTCAAATTCCTCAGTCAATCAGATTTGGATGGTTTTAAGGGGACCTTGTCAAGGAAGCTCCTTGATGGAGTTCCAAAACATTTGGAGAGTTTGCAAGAGGAAATGAGGAACATTGGAATGGCTCTGGCTACTTGCATCCTTCCCAGGTTACAACCTGATGTAGAGCCTCCCCACTTTCCTATCAAAGATTCACCATTCTTGATGCTTTTCAAAGGTATTCTGGAAGAAGAACTCCCAGAAGTTGAAACCAAGACTGAAACTGACAAAGAGATCCCAGACAGGAAGGTAGTGAAGAAATCTTCATCATTACCTAGGTATGACATGTCATGTGATGTTGCTGCAAGCAACAAGAAGAAACCACATTATCTACGAGAGCTCATTGAAGGACTCATGGAGGACAAAGACATAGAAAGATTCCAAGAGAGCTTGAATACTGCTGAAAGCCTTCTAAAGAAGCAGCTGCAAGACTGTGAAGATGAGGATTTTGTCAAGGAACTTGTTCAGGTACTCCTCTACATGGAAGACCGCTTTGCCTTACCTGAGTACCTTGATCAGCGCACAAATTCCTTATCAACTGTTGTCTATACAAAACCATTATATGCAGTGCCATGCCTAACTGCAGAATTCTATTGTGATACAAATAGCATTGGTCATAAGATTGATGCTTTGAATGCCATTGTGAAGGGTGCCGAGGCCCTTGCCAAGGGTGGTACTGAACAACCTCTACCCTCTGTACCACTACTTAAAGCAATTTCTGATTCACCTGACTGGAAAAAAATAGTTGAAGATCGAATACAAGGAAAGACAAGGTACTTCCATCAGCACCCAAGAACTGAGAAGCTTGCGCAAAAGAGCCTTTTTGCTGATGTTGCCCCTATGTTCTTTTTCCCTCTTCTAAATGGAGCCATCTCTTCCCCATCATCTTGGATGATATTGGAGAAAGAACCTTTGTTGTTGCAGCTCTGGCTTCATGGCCTGTGCCGCTTGTTAGTTTGCTCCTGGAATCTGCCTTGTGTAAGCAAGATGGCCCAGGAACTGATGAGGGCCACCTGGCCCTTACATCTTCATCCAGAGGCAGACATCAGAAGAGGAGTCCTGTCCTGCATGTCCCTCTGCTTGCCTCATGTCAAGGCATTACCTTTCCATGAGGTGGAGTCCTGGCTCGATACTGTTGCTCACAATGATCCCGATCCCCAATGTCGACAAATTGCTGTGCAACTGGGAAACCTGTCTTTGTACTAGTTTCTTTATCAGTGTGGAGGCTGTCGACCAAATCTGTTTCTTCCTTTCCACACCCAAATGATTCTCCTGGTTTTCAAATTAATACTTTTTTTTTGTTGAAAAAAAAGAATCCAAACTCACCAAGTTTTGATTTCTTCCTTTGAATACTGGATCCGTGGAATGAGTTCTCCTCTGTTAAAAACAAAAGTGAAGTATTTCACTATGTATACAGAATTTTCAGAGTACTAGTTTGGTTTCATACATTGCTAGCCATTCAAGACTTCATTTGATGTGCTATTTAGTATCCACAAGGTCATGAAAACGTACACAGGACTTGAAAGAGACAGTTTTATCTTTTGAAAATTGAGTAGGACAGTAAGTTAGGCTGTATTATTACTCATGAAGCATTTGCTTTGTATCTAACCAGGAACAAATAGGAATGGTGTCTTACTGCCTGTATGCCATGGCCAAGTCTGCAAAGTACTTCCTCCTCTTGCGATATATTGGATCTGTGAAACCCTGTGGGCAGGGAATAGCAACAGATACCACACATTAGGAAACTTGTTGCCATCATGGATTGCTAAGCAATACATATTTTTCAAGTAATTTGTACTGAGGACTGAACTGCTGTCTTCACATGTTCCTATAAAATGAAATTTTCTGCTGTTTCCCTGCAGATTGAATGCTCATCCATGAAAATTTCTCAATATGCAGGGTCAGCCTCATACAGTGGAGATTCTGTTGTTGCGGTGCTTCCTAGAGGCCTTGACACATTTAAAACTTATATTGCTTGATAATGGGGAGCTTTCCTTCTTACAGACTCACTTCAAAAGCTGATGGTTATGGCATTTGCTATTTTGGCCCTCCACCTACAAGGTATATCTTTCAGCATTCCCGTTGACAAACTGCCCTAATAATCAGTCCTACCTAGTTCATCCCTGCTTATCTGTTGGGGAGAGACTTCATAACCTTAAAATGCATCAATTATGCAGCGCAGCGTGTTCAAATCAATTTTCATGCATATTTGCCTGTAGCTTTTGAGCTGCATTTTTGCATGCATTTATTGTCAGCTTCTGACACCACCATTGTTACCTAGATAAATGAGTAGAAAATTATCTAAGCTATAAAATATTTACTGGGACCAAAATAAAGAAAACTTCTTTACTTTTGTCCTTCGTGTTCACACGATGCAAAATAATATTTTGAATGACTGTTCGGGAATATCTCCAAGGCTGCTAATGGGACATAGGCAATTCCTCAGGAATAATGCAGAGGAAGCCCGTTAATCCCCCAGATAAGCCATGTGGCAGATGGCAGTACTTACTGGGTGATCTGCATTCAAGGCTGAACCATACATGAGGACTCGTTTCGAGCTGATGTCCAAGTCCGAGAGCTTCTTCGGGAACCAGATGATGTCGTCAAAGTCTGCAGACGACAAAAGCTACGATTAATTCCAACGCTCCGTAAAGGAAAATCGAGAGAGGAATAACGAAAGAGAAAATCAGATTTCGGGGATTTCTAGCAGTTAAATTTACGGTTTAACTCAGAAGTATATGCTAAAACGACAAAGAATTTCAGAAATCGTTTAACCCTCTTCCAGCCCTATTCCAAAGCCTCGGTTCCCCGGTTATTTCCCTATTACAGGGTGGTCCATAAAAAAGGTAACCGAATTGCAATATGTATTTCGTTTGTTACAGGTAATCTGGAATAAATATGTCCCAGTGAACAATGAAAGAAAGGATTTGACTTGGCGAACATTATTTCAGAAGTTATGATGGAGGTGGAAACGGTGGACCAATCGATATGGCTGTCGTCACCGTTTCGCACGGCTGGCTCCATAAACAAGGCAAAGGCCTTTCGGTTGGTTCCGAAGTTCTGAGACATGGGTAGAGTTGTCGATACCAAAATGGGGCATTCTGGCAGGACTCGTTCAGTCCCAATGAATGGAAACTTCGTAGGTGTGCTGAACGATATGAAGCCATATTGTTAATGGGATTATCCAAAGGAAGGAGCTGTGTTCACAGCAAAACGGCAGACATGGTCAAAATACTATCGTTCAGTGTATCCGTCGATTTAAAGACCTAGAATGATTAAAAACAACGGTCCCATGTTTGAAACGCACAGTTCTGTAAATGTAAAACATGGAACGACTTAAAAAAAAAACCAAGTGATTTCAAATGCTTCGGCTACCTTTTCTTTGGGCCACCCTGGTTATTAAAAAAAAAAACTTGCATTGTTTATGTTGTCAAAACATCAAATAGCAAGTCAATAGTCCAACAGATGACACTAGGAGTCCTTAAACAAAACGAGCGCTCTGGCCAGTTAACTGCATCGAGACGACAGGAAAGAAAATGACCCCAGCCGACCCACCGAAGCTGTCGAGCGAGGCGAGCGACGCCGGCGACTCCGGCGGGAACTCCTCCCCGCCGTCGAACTCCTTGAGGCTGAGGCACGAGAGTTCCCTCTTGAGGGCCCGGTCCACGAGGGCCTTCTGGGAGTCGGGGCAGTCCAGCTCCACCAGGATCTCCATCTGGGATTCGCGACGTCGGGACGGGCGGCTCTCGATCTTCACCAGGTTCACCCCTTTCTCCTGCGACGGCGGACTCGTCATGCCCTTTTCTCGGCTCATTCTTTACTTTGGGGTTTCGGGCGAATTAAAATATTTTTTTTTAGGAACTCGTGAACGCCGTGGTAAAACGAAAAATCCGTGGACGAAGCTTATCTATGGCTTATCGATGACGTTTCCCGTTCACCTTCTCGTCCCCGTCCCACCACGAACGGTAAACCCATTCAGAAGTAAATTACATCGATTGCGGACGAGCGTCGAACCGAGAAAACGCCCTCCCGCCCGACACACCTGGGAGACGGCCCCCGTAAGAACGGAAGACGGCCCCTGGAAGAACGGGAGACAGACCTGGAAGATGCGGAGCGCCCTGGCCAGCGCCCCGACCTGGTTCCGGAGGGAGAACACCACGTAGTTCTCCTCTTTCCCCTTCTCGCCCTCCACCAGCTTCAACACCTGCGACGAAACGCGACGGATTTCGCAATTCTTTCCTCTGCCGATGTCGGCCTTCTGAGTGGAATGGTAGGACCAGAAAAAAAAATTCAAGGAAATAAGAATGCACACGCATACACACATTTTGAATGGGGCTCGTGAATGGGGCTCCTGGCAAAAGATTCGCGACGGTCCGCCTCGCACGAGGCCAACCGACCGGTCTCCTGCCGGTCGTGTTAGACCGGGGAACACCTTCTTGGTACTTTTTGGTCCCCCAGTACTCTCGGAAGACGTGTCGGAACCAACGAGATCGCATATGATCCTTTCGTGGAAGTAAGGGATCTTAGAAACCGAAAGTTTCGGTTTTTTTTTGTGGAAATGTGAGATTCGGCGACCGCGATCCTCCGGAAGCCCCGTAAAACGGCGGAAGCCCTGCGACCGACGGTCTCGCTCGAGAACCAGACCCCAAGGTACTTGAACTCTTCTACCTGATCCAGACCCCCCCCCCCCCCTCGACACCTGCAGGAATTCTCGAGAGAACCTGCAATCGAGTGTCCCCAGCCCCCCGCCAAAAATGCGGGTTATTCCAGCCGGATCACATTTCGAGTCGAACCGGTGGAAATCGGGTCGAAAAAGGACGGCATCACCAACAAAGATTTACTCCTGAGCTACCGATGCCTCTTTCATTTGGCGCATTCCCAGAGTGTCTCGAAAATCTGGTGTAGAGTGAGGAGCCGTGGGTCCGAGGACCGCTCGAGCTCTATTCACGATCGGCATAGACTTCACCTGTGTGCCGAGGGGAGTGATTCCAAGGTGGGCTGCTAAGGGTCTGCCCTTCTTAAAATGAAGGAAAACGGGGGTCTGCCGATCCATGGGGGAAGGGAGGGGGGGGGGGGAAAGGGGGGGCCAGAGGGGGGGCCGATTTCCATGCGGTTCGACGCACCCTGTGCGAGGACGAGCACTCGCGGCGTCTCGGCCCGCTTTTAATCAGTGCCAGGGGAATTTCTTGATGCTTGACGTAGCATCTCGAAATTCGTCCACGGGGAGACTATCCTCCGCGCGGAAAAATTCCTTCGAACACATCAACTGTCGAGATCCGAATCTTCGCCGGGTTCCTTCCTCGCCCCTCGTTTCGCTTCGGTCGCGGCCCGAGCAGCGGTCGTTCGCGCTCGGAAGGTCCGATGCGATCCGCGTTTCGTGAAGGCGCGGTGTGGGCTGTCTCGAGCCGGATGGGTCGAGGGTGTTCGCGCCGTGTCGATGCGTTCCGCTGCGATTCGCTTTTCGTCGAGTGTTTCACGGCTTCGGCCGAAAGGCCGGATCTACATGGATCCCATTTGACATTAGACATACAGGGCGGGGCAAATATTTTACAGTTCTTGTATACTGAAAATAGCTGCCCAAGCAGCATGTTCACGTAAACAAGATATCAATTTTTTGCAAACAATNACGTATCGCAGAGGTGACATTTCTGCAAACATGTTGACATTTTCTTGACAATGGTTTGCGTAAAATTTATATAAAATGGACAAAAAATTTACATTAATTTTACGTAAAATTAACATAAACATGCTGTTTGGGAAATATCTTCACTCACGACAGACCTATTCCCGCGAAAATGTCACTTTTGCATATACGAGCACGTTTTCAACCGCTTCGCCAGATCTCGTCAGAATTTTCCGCGCCGACGCAATTCTACCAGCAATCATCGAAAAAGAAGTCAGACGCCAAGAACGGACAAGAAGCAGTTGGCAGTTGGCAGTTGGAACGGAGGATCCGCGAAGAATCATTCCCAGTGAATGGTGGATGAATCGATGAATAACAATCTAGAGTTTTTTTTTTTAAGTTCATTCGGAATTTCCCATGTTTATTTATTTATTTTTATTTTTAAGGAACTGTCCATTTCGGATGTCAGGCTTATAGATAGCTCATAATTTTGATCCGAATTAAAGGATTTTTTTTTGGCAGCCTCGTTGACTTTCAAATAAATGAGAAAAAAAAGCTACATCCTGAATAAAATTTACCATGCATGACTTAAGACTCAGGCTGCCTTAAAGCACGGGAAATTCGGAAAAGTGGAGAAAACTCTCTAGTTTGATATTTATCGATTCATCGATTCATCTACCATTCACTAGCAGTTGCTGGTGGTGTTGCTTCGGATCGACAAGTTCGGATGAAAATTTTCAGTTGGGAACATACGCGGCGACAGTTTCACGAAAACAGCTCTGTCGCGAGCGAAGATATTTAGGTCGAAAGTTCTTGATCTTTTTTTTGCCATATCCTGTTTATACGAGAGGCGATCAATAAGTTTCCGCAAGCCATTTTTTTTTAAGCACTAAAGGTCGGAACGTAAATTGAAAAAATCGGTACAGCCAGCCCTGTTCTAATCCTGAAAACATTCCCCGTCCACCCAAGCCACCTCGACGAAGGTCTTCACTCCCAGAGAGCTTCTCCCCCTCGAAGACGTTGCCTTCATCGGTCCCAACGAACGAAAACCCAAGGCTGCAAGGTCCCGACTACGGCGGGTCGTCGCAGTCCACCGAGAGCGACGAGCCGTGCGACCACGAATCCCGTATGTGGGCGAGCACGTTGCCATGCGACGTGCGTCTTCGTCCCTCGTTTCGGGTCGCTTTCTTCTCGACTCCTTCCCGAGTCGGTGTAGTGCATATATCGATATCTGTCGGCATCGATCGATCAGAAATTCCATTAGTATCGGACCGTTCTTGTTCCGAGAAAAAAAAAGCATGGCCTTTTTTGATGGATGCTTCAGATTTCAACTTCCTTCATCTAGGAGATGAAGAATGCTGCCATTTCTTTGATCGTTCCTCCGTTCCAGATGGGAGCAGTGCACGGAAAATATTTTGAGGTATAGAACAGGCCTGGCTGCTTATTTGTACCAATTTTTATTTACATCCCACCACGAATATCGATGTTTTTTTTAAATAGTTTCCGGAAACTTATCGAGCACCCCTCGTAGATAGGGATTTTCGTAGAAAGCACCCGAAAGTCCCCCGAACCCACCGCGAATCGCAGAGAAAAATGGACAAGAACGGCACGGACACGGCGAAAGAGAAAAAGCGAAGCCCCGCTGACCTTGGGACCTTTATGGAGCTGCTGCCTGATGGCCCATCGGTCTCCTTCCCCCCTGTACAGCCACACCCCGATCAAGCTCTTCCCGCTTCCACGGCCTAACCTAACAGTGTTTAAGCATATATGTGCTCTAGACTTGTTGCTAACAGAAGCTTGGATCTGTCAAAAATGGCATTGTCCTTCTTTTTAGGTGTTCAGAG